GTTACTATTAATTAACTATTATTATTACTATTAATTAACTAATTAGTGATCAACTGATGTTATTAAATTCGCATCATTTTATTTAATATAACACAGCGATATTCATGGAATTTCGTTTTGACATTGATTCGTATTCTTGTTTTTTGTTTTATTTTTCACATGGCACTATTTATTCTTCTTCTGATATCATAGGACCCAAAATCCCATAATATTGGCGGCTAATGAAACCAGTAATCAAATAGCAAAAATGGTTTGTTTGATGAATGTGAAAGTTAATGAATGTGATTTTATAATCATTTATTACAACACAAAAGCAGTTCGATTGCTTCGTAATTTTCAAATTTGCATTTTAAGATTCATACCAATACAACTAATCAATCGTTTCATCCTCAGAAATCCATCGTAATATTTACGCAATCAGTTACTGAGTTGCTTAAATGTTAACGAACAGAAAAATCATTGCAACAAAAAGTTTCATCTTCAATAAATCTTTCAAAATTTATCACTTTGTTTAATTTATTCATTTATTCACTTTCTAATTCAATTTGGTCTTCATTCCTATCAGTACACATCAGCAACATTTTTTAAATACATATACACACTAGAAAACACATACTAAAAGAATGTGAATATGTATATTTTTAATGTGTTGTTCATGCATACACTTTCACACAGAGTGTATATATTTGAATTTTTCCACAAACCCGACTGAACTCTTCCGTCTTTGAAAATGCCTCCTTTTCTCTTATTTTCTGATTATTATAGTTCAAATCATTATTTAATAAAATAATCAGAAAATAGCTCGTGAAGAATCAATTATTTTTTGAAATTTGCAAATACTAATTGTCAATATGTAAATGGGACAGAAGTAATTTAGACACTACTACATTTATTCCAATGCAGATTATGTTTTATATGCACTGCGTTTCGTGTCACCAAAAAATGCTTGTAAAAAAATTTTAAGTCTGATTTTCACTTGATATACAAATCATTCAAAGTAAAATTCTAAAATTTACAATTAGCACTAAGTGAATGTTTTGCTGAATCCATTTCAGTTTAAGCGTGGTATAAGTACAAGAATTTGCTTGTTTTTGCGTTTCATATATAAGTCATAGATGACGTTATATGAATAATAAGTAAACAGAACGAATGAATAGTTCTAAAATTTTCTGCCCGTCTCGCTTGTCAATTTTCATCTTCCGAACAAATTTATTCAATCTATAGTGCAGAGATAGATTATTTCAATATTTTGTTAGCAATATTTTTTCATGCGAAACTGATGAGGAAGTCAAAATTTGCTAAACGTTTTCAATTATTAATGAATGCAATTGTAAATCATCCCATCACAATGAAAACAAAAATATTGGTCTTTGATGGTAATTTTTTTGAAATTTAGAAAGAAACAGCTTTCAATATTTGATATATTACATAGCTACAAATTTACTGAAGCAATACAAGGTGCTTGTAGAAGACATTACCTATTTCTGAATAAGCAAATTGAAATCTTTTTGCTATTTACCAATTTAAAGAAGCACTACATTGTCAAATCTGATCACCTACTTCTTTCTAAAAACTGAACTGTCGAAAATTTCTGGAATATCTGTAGCAAATTTCATTACTATCCTTTAAAATTGTTTTGAGAATATTATGAATTTCGAAGAATCTTTATTGTCTTGTTTACAAATTATTCCATTAAAAAAAATTGCATTTCGGAAAGTGTAATGAAATTTTTAAATTTTTGTTCGCCTTTTACTTGTTTAAGCTTCGACAATATAAAATCGATGAATCGAATTACTGGTCTGTTGCTATTTTAAGTTTTTTGCATTTTCTGATTAATTGCTGAGGGAAAATACATTTGACCAGCTGGCACAAAAAATTTATTAAACGTATTAGCGAGTAGTCAAAATCAAAATAAATTCTCTCTATATATACATATATCATACTTTATAAACTTTTATATCATATTTTCTGCTTTTCTCAATGCGGTATGCAACCAGTCTGATTACTTCATGTCGCTTCTTATCATAGATCTTGATGTCCGTTAATCGGCATCTAGCTTTAAAGTTGTTCAAACGTGCATATCGACTGTTATACTCTACGTTCTCGTTTGCGACGATCTCCTAAATGGAATGGCCTCGTATTTGTGGGAATGTTTCCAGACTAAACTTTGCGTTGCTAGATTGTCCACCTTCTTCACACGTTCCCTACAATGTGGGGACATACTTTTCCAAGCTCCAAACATATTTCTATCTTGATAACATAGCTCTCCATCTTTGTGGTGTAATGCTTCTATACTGCTTTGCATTTATTTTGAAAGTGGGGTACAATGACTGCTAAGTACGTATTGCGATCCTTCTCCTTCAAAATCGCCGCTCTCCTGATGATAAGAACGGGGTATCTGTAACAACATTATGAAATTGGAGCTCACTCTTTTATTCAGCGCAGTGAAGCCTACTTTCTAGCTCGTCCTTTGGCAGATACAGTCTCTTTTAACAAGCAGGTTGACAGAGAATTCCATACCTATTCAGTAACTGCCCGATATCATGGTTAATTGCTTGAAAATCTTCTGGCTCCAGTTTGGGCACCCCAATATGATAGATTATTAAATCAATTTCGTTTACTGTCTTGCTGAAGTTCTTGCCGTTTAGTACAGTTTTGGCTAGTCGCACAGTTCGTACCAAAATCTTTGCTCGTAGCTTTCTTCGGTTAGTGCGCTAGTCTTTTGTGTTTCATTATTTCAAGGTATTTATGCCCTTGAGCTCCTTACAGGAGCACCGCCTTATCAGTGTACACCTTAGTATTATTGGTTCATTTTGCTAGATTCACCTATAATCCTACCAATTCAAAGGACCTCTGGACTTCTTCATAGATTTTGTGATATTACCATTGGTTTCAAGAAGTTTGAGAGCACCAACAATTAATAGATGGTTCGATATATGCATTTCTCGATCATTCCTCGATTGATAAAAATTGGTACCTTTGGGTATCTCATTTTAAGTCTACGTCTGAATGGGTCCATGCACAAAACGAATAGCAGCGTAGAAAGGCTATAGCTTGGATTATTCTTCATTAGACTTTCTTCTCCATCATAGTTTCTCCATTGTTTTCAGTGCAACTGCCCATCTGAATGTGGTGCTTCTCTGAAACCCGCTGATTCACGATGGTATGTTAAGCCTTTCAATCAAGTATTCGTGGTTAACTAATTCCAAGCTTTTATAATTTCATACCACACAGTATAGAGCTGGTTTTCGTGCTCGTTGCAAACCGCCACGTTCAAGAGTTCCTGCGCTTTTGCACCCTGAACCTGGGTAACAGTTCCTAATTGATTGTCTGCAAGCAGCTTCCTCATGGCAATATCTAACTGCATGACGCGAGCAATACATTTTGTTGTTAACTTGTAAAGGTTCAACATACAAGTTATTGGCATGAAGTCACTGTCTTTACTTGAGTCACGTTTTGGAATAGGTAGTTCTTTTGTAAACCCACGGACCCTGTTTCTCTCCATTCGCGCAAATACTTTTTACTATTTTGTACAAGTCTGGATACAAGGAGGTGCACTTTTTAATAAAGAAGTTCCATCAGTTTCCATCGTCTTCCAGTTGAACAAATAGGAAACTATTTTCCCAAAGTCGGTTTCTGAGAGGAAAGTGTTGTGCACTTCTGATATGGAATGGAATGAATTCTTCGTTGTGGCGGATTTTGTCATCCTTTCTGATCTCCAAGTTCCACATCGTACCTCAAAAATCTTGATTTCTTTTGCCTTTACTCTGAGGCTGACAGGCTGTTCTTCAATCAGATTTCTATAGAACCGTCTTCTGAACAGCTAAAATCTGGAATTTTGGATTTTAAATGCACACCGGATTTCGTAACTTCTAATTTTATTTTCGTGAGCCCTCACACGATCTGTCAATATGCCTAAAGCTCCATGTCTTAAAGCTTCTTAAGAGCAAGTATGAGATTCACCTCCCTCATACACGTCTTGGCCTCCTTTAAGTCTTTATCTCCAAGTTTTTCACCGGCCAAAGTTGTTATACGAGAGTTTTATAGGTATTTAATATGCTTATCTTCTTTTCTATTCTGGCCTTCCACCGCGATGGCATCTTCTCTCGCTTCGTCGTCTCTTCATAGCATTTTGAGTTGCCTTCTAAGATCAGTCATTCACTGGAGTTGCCTTGTAAGATCAGTCATTCACTTGGCGGGATTCTGTGTATTTACATATTCACTTGCCACTTGGTTTACCGCTCTAAGTATCAACATTCTCCGAGATTATTTTCCACGTCCACTCTATCTGGTTTATCTCACACGTCCTTGGGCTTTTCGCAATAGCATCAGGTATTTCTCCTTTACTTCTAGATCAGCTTTAACTCGTGTAATGTATTTTGTTCGACGTACATGTCTTGTGTTTTGACGCGCCTCGCTGACTCCTATAAGAACCGTTTCTGTGAGCTCGTACAATCTGTAATACTTATGATCACAGAACTCGCTTGCTTCTTTCGTTGTAGAGTAATTGCACACACGAGCTTCTTGCTATACAGGGTACGATACAATGTCCATTTCTTTTCTGGCACTCTCTCGAAGGGTCAAGGACCGCTTTTAGCACTTATCCTTGCCAGCTGCTCTGCGGAATCTCGATTCCACAACCGATACTTCAAGCGTGACTGATTCTGATACATTAGCAGAGTGCTCTTTTCTTTGATTGCTCTAGTATTTTCGTCATTTACATTCTTAGTAGCCTCATAACATTTTCAGAACAGATTAATGTAGAGCAAAGATAGGAATACAAACCAGAGATTGCGAAAAAAATAATGTGTTCCTTCCAAGATCAGGCGAAGTTTGTCATTAAACCTTCATATATATAATAATCATGATAATAAACAAAGCGATAGTAACAGCAAGTTTGGCTTATATATTATTAGTTAACTGGTAAAATTTAAATGATTTTATATCTGTTTAGGTTTCTGACTATAATTTAAATGATGCTATATTTGTTCAATGTTCATAACATGATGAATAAATGGAGACTGAATTTAAGTTTTTGCGTTTTTGCGTATTATGACATCAGTGTAAAGTCTTGCAAAAATTTGTGCATTTTAACAATCAAAATAACTGTCGAGTATTTTACGTAAATCATCTTAGGCATCAATATTAAACTTCTTATTTCATACTCCTCTACTTTAAGCACATGAAATGTTTTGATTTTTGATCGTTATTTACTTGAGAAAGTTGTTTAGTGCTCTAGTTAACTCTTAAATATACATTTTTAATTTTTATTATTTGTTTTCAAAGAAAGTAAAGATTTCGGTTTCCGTCTGTGAAGTTATATATACTTATTTAAGAAAATAAATTGCATATTTTGGATGTAGAGAAGATTTTTATGAACGAATTCCTCAACTTACATTATATGATCACTTCAGCTGTTATAGCTTTATCATTCACTATATAATTAATTTTTTCTTGTTGAGACATTTATCTATTTATCTATCTAGATACTGAATATTTAATGTTAGAAATTTTCAAAATGTTAAGAAATCTACAGATAAAAATATAAGCATCTTCTTAATTATGATTTAAATTTAAAATTAGGATTAATTGTAATATTCGAAAGTCGCTCACTATAACTTCTTTTTTTTTCCAAATATGCAATGCAAAATCTTTTTCAGAAGAACTTAATTTCAAGTTTAGCACGGAGGGTACCTCGACAAGATGTCTCAGGCAGAAATGGTGACAGTGCGAATGTCGCGCGGCCATCTGGGCACACCATGGGGTTTTGAAATTGGACCAAAACTAACCATTACTAATGTATAATTTTCAAAAGTTCGCTAATATCACATAAAGTGTAAAAACCGTAATTTGTAATTCAAATAGAAGACTTAGTTGAAAGTGAAAAAATTTTCACGTTTTGTCTTTGCAGTCTAAGTCATGTTTAATGGTTAACTGCTATAACTTCAACTGCATAATTAGGCTAACCATGAACATTTTTTGTCCAACTACTAAGATTTCTTTGTTCTCGAATATATATTTTCAAGTATCTTTATAATAAAGTATTTAAAATAAAGCAAATTAATAATAAATGTAGCAATTTCGGTATGACAAATTCAGATACTGTCTAGTTTATGACAAATATTTGTAACTGAGATCTGGCTGCATAATTCAGCACAGCAAAGTTTAAATTTTTGTCTGGAAAGTTTCAATCGTTTTTCAATTATTTCATATATTTTCTTCATCGCATTCTTTACCCTATTTGAATGAAAATTTGACAGATTCTGTAGGATCCGAAGTATATGCGGGCCAGTTTTTACTTAATAAAATTCCTATATAAATCACAAGTGCCATGCATACATTAATCATGCAAATAATCATATAATTTATACATAAGTAGTATGGTAATAACATTGAGTTGGTGCAATTTGAAAACGATTTTTAACAGAAAAGATTAGAGTAGACTAGAATAATAAAATTTAATTGTTACTGCTTCCACAAGTATTCCTTTCTAATGAACAAAATTATATTGCAATTATAGTTTAATATCTGAAAATATAATATATTTGACTAATTTATTAATTTTGGGATTTTGAATTGAACTTTTAAAAAGTAGAAGGAGTTCATGAAAATTAAAGAGCTTTTTTCAAATGGCAGAAGGAATTATTTATGGAACAGCAAAAGACAGTGCTTATGAACACTTGCAAATATATTTTTTAGACCGAAAAAATAATGTAAAAGATGTTGAAGAATATTTAATGTTGTTTGCTACTGCTTTTCACACTCACTATAAAAATTCAGATAACAACGGTATGGCAATCACTTATATGCTTCATTAAGAATTCCCTGCAAATTTGAAAACTCAAAATTTTATTGTTAAATCTCTTCCTCTCTATTCAAAAATTATTATAGATTTGTTCAAGCTACAAAATATGCATAAATTTTATGACTTAAATAAATAAAAATTTAAACACTGAAAATGTGGTATTAATATCTACAACGAATAATCTGATGGAGCAGCTAGTTAACTTAAATATTTCTGAAAATGAATCTATCAGCAGCAATTATAGTCTTGTTCGGTCTCATTAATTTCGGAATGATAATTGCTCCATCTTAGAAAAACTGTCCTGCTTGTCATAAAAGCCATCAGAATTTATTTTACATCAAATTTTGATTTGAACTTTTTAATTATTATAATACATTATGTTCGTTTGCTATAGTGCAATTTTTGCAGGTAATGGGGGGCTCACTAGCCGATCGCGCTGGCTTGCTTGATAATGATATTTTAGTAGAACTTGAAGGTCATCAAAAGTTAAATATTGAACTTGCCAGACAATTATTATCAAAAACAGAGCATAAAATTGATTTAGTGGTTCATCGGTAAGTTAGAAGGAATGCATTGATTAGCATTAGTTTCAGACGTTAAATGCTCTAATAACAATTATATTTGAAGTGCATTTTAAATTAGCTCCAAATTCAGTTTATTCAATTCATAAAGACATAATTACTAATAAATATCAGATATATTAACTGATATGAAATCTATCAACTTGGAGCTAGTTAATATCAGTTCTTTCCATTCAAAAATTACACATTTGTTTGTTTCATTCATAATTCTCCACTCTAGTTTAAAGAATTCAAACGATGAACAAAATAGTTCAAAGGATGAATAATTCCACATTTTTTTCTTGCCCATTAAATTAAAGAGAATTACAGATATTAATTATTCAGCGACATTCTTTCTTGAATTAAAAAAAAAGTATGCACAATCACTAAGACAATAAAAAGAAAAAAGAAATAAATTTTAAAAAATTGCAAATATTTTTTGAAAAAAAGGAATGTTGGAGTAAGGTAAGAGTAAAATTTCTAGCTAGTGATATATTTGATCAATAATTAAGATTGCTGATATTCTTGGGAAAAATTTTTGAAAATCTGACATATTAAAAGGACGAGTTAGTTGCACAGTATTGACCTAATTTTCAAAAATTCTCTCAAACCCTACAGGGGAAATATTGTCAACTTCATTGCTGATATGTTCCAACTTGCCTATGCACCTAAGCCTTGGTAAACTTTCTCCCTAACTTTCTTGCTCTTAATATTAAGATTAATGGTTGCTTTACCGGCAAAAAAAAAATCGTACTGCTGCGATAAAAGTAATAATTTCAGGGTAGGAAGCGATACAACACATCAAATTTGGCAGCCATCTGTTACCGAAAATGCAGAATATAATAAATTTCAGCATTCTGTTCTTAATGTTCCATCAGTAGATGCAGAAAAAATGCATCCTTCAAATGTTCCACTGAAAGTATCATTAGAACACCAAAATCCGGTAAATATTACTACTAATTGTACTAAAGATTATGATGTTGCTTGAATTAAATAACTGTAAGCAAATAAAGAACGGAAGCAAGAAACAGTGAGGCCATTTTCAGATTAACTCAAATGAATATATTATCAAAAACAGTTTTAAACCTTTAGAATAATTATTTAAAATTAACTTAAATTATTTCCAAAGTAATAAGGTAGCTAATTAATAGCAAAAACGACTGAGCTCACTAAGAATTCAAGTTTTTTGTGAGTAATTTCATATTTACTCATTATGTGTGCAATTTTCATCCAAATCTTATCTAATTCCAAGTAATTTAAAATTTAATCGAATTTAATTGTTTTACTTTAATGCATTTGCAGTTAAGATTAAAAACATGGCAATTCAACAGAATACTTTATCGATATTTTAAATTAAATCTTTAATTTTCATCTACTGGCCAAACCCAAGACCTTATCTTAAATGATCTGTAGAGACGTATTTTCTTTCCGTAACACTTATCCTCGAATATTTTTCATTATACTTTATGTTAAAGGTAGAACCATTTATAATTTTGTGTCTTAAATTATGTTTTTACTAACTTTTCTCTATATGGTAATTTTATAGAAAAAAGTTATTTTTTCCTTCACGTTGAGGGAGCAAATTGCAAATCAAAATTATAGCATTTGAAAAAAAGTAATCAAGTTTTTTGCTTACTTTTAAGTAATATGCAAATTGAATATTACAAATTTGCAATTTCTGTCTAATATTTAATTTTGAGTCACGTCTGAACTGGTGTTCAATAGCATTTACAATACTCAGATTAAATACTGGGCAAAATTTCAATTAAGTCTTTCCTCGCTAATAGATTAATATAGAGTTTAACGTGTAGAATTACTGCATGCTAAAACTGTATTTGACATATATTATAACTATATTTATTACTTTGCAGTATGCTGCATTTATTTTGAGAATACTCTCGTACTCATCCCCTTTTAATTTTGATTTTACCCACACTTTTGCCTAATGACAGCATCTAATGTTTTTTTCTACTGAATAATAAAAACTGTTCATATGTATAAATTATTGTCTTTGATATCAGTTTTTGAGAGATAGCACAGTTCAGAGAACCCATCGTGAATTAATGGCTCAAAATTTTGGATGGGAAGTTTCGAGTAAGCTTCCATTTTGTTAATATTTTTTCGCCAACAAATACATCATTTTAGCTGAGTAAGCATAGATAAGTTTATTCAAACTGATCAGTTCTTAAGTTCTTGCTTCGAATATTTAGGTCATGTTTATAAAATCCTTCGGAAGACAAATGACATATTTGATTTTATTTAACATCATAACATTTTGAATAATAAACAAATTCCATAATAATCTATTACTATTCCATCTTTTGTTAAAAAATAGCCCGGTAATGAAACTACAACACCTAAATAATGGTAAAAATTTTGATTAGAATATGTTATTTTTAATAATCAAAGTCAGCTTTCATGGGCAGCAAAAATAAAAACATCGCAGACAGTTATGAAGCTGACTTGTTTACATTATTGAAATAAGATATTGTTAACTACTATATCAATTATTTTATAATAGCAACTATCATATATTATCTTCTACTGCGTAGAAAATATATGCTATTAATGTCATTGTTATAATATAATTTTAATTAAGTAAAAAATAAGCTAATTTTTATCTACAGGTGAGAAAAAAATCAGAATCATTCAAATTTAGCAGCGTGAATTCTTTGAAGTTCAGATTTAATTTGATAACGAACTTGTATTTAATAAAAACTGCTGAAAGTTGAGCATCTAACAAAGTAATATGCCTTCACTATATTACTTCTTTCCTTTTTCTTACATCAATAAAGACACCAAGAATCTAGTTTTCATATCAAGTCAGATACATACCTTCTGAAGATATGTTGTTCCTAAGAAAATGCAATGTCTACTGCATGATTCATTCAATTATTATGATTAATTCAATTATTTTCATATCAGGCCAAAGTACAAAAATTATAAATTAGCGAAAAATATAAGTAATTGATAATTACTAGAGATATTATTTTCCAGAAAAATTCAAATATATATGAGAGTTTTATAAATATGACATTTATTGATAAGAATATTTTTAGGATTCAATCGCCATTCCAGGATTCAACGTTACTGCTCAACCATTCGGAGATCATCAGCAAGTGAAACATTTGCAGTACAATTCACCAATGTCACTTTATTCACCGCAGTCAGCTGCTGAGCAATATCTCCAACAAACGGGTGGTCTTTTTGGAACTGAGTGAGTATTTTTGCGAGAACAAGAATGAAAAATAAATAAATCTAATTATCTATAAGTTTTTAAGTTTAAAACTTTGAAATAATAACCTTTGCTGCATGTACCAAACTGAAATTAAATATTCTGATAAATAAATAAATGCTTTAATATAATGCATGCATTCGTGGAAAAGACATTAATAGAAATGGTTTATAATATAATATCTATTTTAAATGAATAAACTATGCTGACCTATGCGAACCTATATAAAGATATTAATACAGAGATTTAATGGCTAACCGACATAATAATGTCATCGGAAGAACAGAGGAGAGCATAATTTTGTGTATATGTTTGGGAATAACTTTTAATGGCGCGCAACAAGACATCAAAACCTGCAAGCAAATAAAATTTCATATTTTTTAATTACGAGAAACAGAAATTTGATTAACTGCCATAAGAAATAAAGATATTCATTTCACATAATATGATAGTATTAATATTATTAAAGTTGAAAATTTAGTAGTAAGAACACTCATTTGTTAAGTCCCAATTTAACGAAGCAAAAAGAAGTGCCGTCGTATTTACGCTCAGAAACACTTCGCCTTATTCAAGAAAGTGAACGCTCGAACGAAGTTGCGAAGACCAGATCATCAGTAAAACCAGTGGAAATCAATCGAGGTTAGTTCTAGCATATCTGATTATTGTAATCTAATTATTGCTTTATGTCCTTAGCAATTTTATCAATTATTTTAAAAATTTTTTAACATTTTAAACTGATCATTTAATTGACAAAATGTAAGTGAAAAGAATGAGTAGATAAAATTAAACTTTATTCTATGAATTTATGTTATTTTATTTGGCTTTCAAAAGAGTGGGCATGATAAGAAGGGCAGAGGAAATAATACAGTAATTGATATTTTAAGAAGGTTCTCGACTTAATGCAGAAAACATTACGGGATTACCAGTATGTTTCATTTGTGGACGCAATATCATGTAGGTTCATTTCTTGCTTTGTTTGCATTTACTTGCATTGTGTTATGATTATTTCATTTATGATATGACATTTCTGTGATTCTAATTTATTTTTGTGAGGCAAATTCAAATAAAATTTGCACTAATTTTATTTTTCTGCTGTATAATAATTTTTCATATTATGTAATTTCTAGCAGGGGATTCCAATCTTGAATTTTTATTCTTAATTTTAAAGAAAATTCATTTTAATTAGTACAGAAATTAATGCACATAAAAGACTATTCAAAAGCTCAGTATTTCGTTTTACAAATGAGTAAATGATTATTTAGTTGTAAGTATTCAAGTATTAAATCAATATTTCATTTTTTTTTATTATGGATAAAAATCGTCACAAATTAATTTTGGTAAAATTAAAAAAGCCTTTAAATGAAGATAAAAATTTTTAACCAACATAAATTTTATCATTTGTAAATATTTTCAATTTTTAGAGGACCAATGTGCCGAGCGTCTGATTGCACTATGCACGGTGAGTGCTTCCAGTGTTCCACTTGTGGTAGTGCATTAAAAAATATTGGTCATCACTTCATTAATGAAAAATTTTATTGCGATATCCACGGTCAGCAGCAGCTTAGAGGAGGAAGTATAACTACAAAGCCCGATGATATACATTCATCTTTAACGTTTGTTATTCTTGCATTTTTTGATATTATCAAGTTACAATATAGTTAATTTATTGTTTTATCTTACAGGGAATTATTTTAATTCTAACACGTAATCACATTACTAATACTAACACTATACTCACACTCCTGTAATTTTTCAGTGTTTCCAGCTCAGCTGAAAATTTCAGTGATTATTTTCTTTTAAAAAATTGCAATTAGTAAAGAAAAATATCTGATTTCTAGTTCATTGTATTAGCCTAGTCCAAAGTATTTCACAAAAACGATTGACTTAATCAAAAGTGGAAAATATGTTCATCAGTAGATGAGAAGTTACTTTCCAAAATTCATTCAAACTGCAAGGAATTAATCTAATCAATGATGAGTTTCAGATTCTGCATTTTTTTATTTGCTTAATAAATTTAGTTTCTTACTAATGATGAAATTAAAATGCAAGAATTTTAAAAGCAATTTTTTGATCATAACTTTACAGTGTATAGTTTAGAAGAAAATCTCGAATAACTTATAATGAAAGAAACACATTGCATGCTCCGTATCAGCCTGAAATCATGACTCGGCAACGGCTTTCAATCAGTCCAACAGCGTGGAAAACTCAAAGTCCTATCAGGTGATTTAATCTTTGCAGTATGATTTCAAATGTAAAATTACAACTTGTTGCATTTTTTGCTTTTTTGGGTTATTGAGAAATATTTATGCGAAAATATTGAAATTTTCGATTCAGTCTTTTAATAACAAATGAAAATCAAAAAAGTTTATTCCATCATGCAAGAAGAAATTTATTGCTATTATTGTGCAGTATTGTCTTAATTTTGTTAATTAGTTTTGAATGGTGAAATTTGAAAAAATATATTTCTCACGGAATAATGAAAATGTGAGGCAACGAAATTTGCAAACCGTCTCACTTATTTTGATTTTGGAAAAATTGATATAGTTTATTTTTTTTATATAAGTAGTATCTAAATCTAGTTCTTGTTAACAAAAGCTTCAATTATTTGAGAAAAAATTATAAACTGAACTTACATTTTGCGGTAAGCCTTTTCAAAATTCTCATCTTTCTTCCTTCGAAACTCTCAGCTTCTGGGTGATATCAAGAGTCTTGAATGATTAACTTATATTTTTTGATTCCCAAAGAAGCCTTTTTTGATAATCAAAATCCGTCAGAATTGTTGTGCAAAGCATGTTTCTGATAATAAAAATGACGCAAAGGTTTTAGTACCAATTTTTATATTTTTAGTGGCCTGAAATTAAAAAATTAAAGAAAGCCTTGTTTAAAATTACGTAATTGAGCTTTCTCTAGCACATGCATATTTTAAATAATTTTAAATGATGTGCATTGAAAAGGTTTTGCCATAGTAAAAATTCATTGTGTTGTTCCTTCGCGGAGGAAATGATTCATACCAAATCATTTCTTGTAATTGTTTTATTCTAAGAGTTCTAATCATGATAGCTAAATTTAACTTTTATGTTTGAATACGAAGTATAAAAAACAATTGAAGACTTCCATTTTCTTAAAACTATGCAGTGTTCGAGCATTTGAATTTTTAAAGCATATGTTTGTTGTAGCTTTATATGTTTGATAAATAGAAGGTCTTATAATTTTAGCCCAAGCAATCGCGGTGTACCACCAGCTGCTACCCATTATGGTCATGAACTGACTGAGCTAAAAAAAGAAATTCACAGTTCATCAGTAAATTCAGGTTTCTTTCTATGTAAATTTAACAAATGAGGGCTACAAGTGAAAGATGATAAAATTTATGATCACGAAAGGAAGGAAATTACTTATGGACTGCTTGATTATCATTTTTCGAAAGACAGTTTTTAAATATAAAAAATTATTATCACTTACTGATTTCGAAAAAAATCACAAATGAATCAAATAAGTATTGATGAAATAAAATATCTGATTTGATTTCAGCTCACATCTTGCTAACAAAATTTGTGTCACGTTTTTTTTATACTCATTTAAATTTATTTAATCATTTATGTCTAAGTTTTTTCATGTTTAAAATTTGTTAAACGTCAGTAGTGTGTTAAATTTGTTCGTGCATTCACACAGGTCATACGTCTGATCAGCATTTGAATGTGTTAACTCGGGTTCGATCTTTACCATCCGAAATACGAAAAGTAACTTCACCACGACGAAATCCATTTAGACATCAATGGTCTCCAGAAAGTTCCAAGATAAAAAAATATTGGCAGTATGATTGTATGGCTGCTGCTCTCGATAACGGTATATCAAATGAATCTGAAGACATAGTTTTGTCATTATCAGAATATATAAAAGAAAATGAAAGAGAGTACCGAAGACGTCCAAGTCCAAAACGATATTTATTGAGAGGTGAAGAATTACGGCTAGATTCCAAGGAATTATTCAATAGTGAGAAAACAAGTGAAAGGAATGAAAATGAATCTAGCATAAAACACAAACTTTATTTATCACCAAATGATATAATTTTGGAGAAACAGAATTCTGAAGCTGTAGAAGAAGAGCAATTTTTAGATAGTTTAATTCATTATAAAGGGAGAGAAAGTAAAACAAACAGTATAGATTTGAATATTAACGAAAGTATTGAAATTTCGAATTCCAAATATTCCACTCATCACTCACTTAATGGAAATGAATACCAAAAATACGAACAATATGATACAGAAGATGAACAGAATATAGCTTTTAACGATCAAAAAATGAAACACAAATCGATGAATTCAGAAATTAATAGATCTGGAATGAATGAATTCGAAGAAGATGGACGAATTAGTGATATTTGTAAACACGATGAAATTACTGGTAATAATATTGGAATGAGCAGTCATTTAGAAAATCAAAAATTTAACAATCAAAAAATCCATTGCAGTGCGAGAAGACTGCCTGATTTTATTGAATATTATGATGGAAATGGCAATATTAACAGTGATAGCACTGAAGAAAAGAATCAAAACGCAGTTGTATATACTAAAAATAAATTGCATACTTATAATCATGGAAAAATTCAATCTTCTCAGTATTCTACGATGAAAAATTTGTCTTCCCATAATGAATATGATAAGCAATCATGCATTACAGAGGATTACAAGGAATCACAAAGATCAAAAAAGGCTGAACAAGTTTGTAATGACAATGGGCATGAAAAAAACTTAGTTCAAGAAAGATTAGAAGGAGAGGAGAGAAATTATTCTGGAAATATTAATGCTTGTGAAGAACATGATAAACAACTTGTTATAGAGAGTATTACTCGTTATCAGCAGGAATTACATGATCAGGAAGAAGAATTATCGCATATGCTTGATAACACTATTGATTTTCTGAAAAAACTTGACAAGTATGCTAAAAAAACAACCTTCATTATTTAAAAAATTTGAACTTATATGCTTTTTATGGAAGTACTTTACAAAAGTTAGTTACAAATGAGGACAAAATTTTATTTAAAATCTGAAATTTCCATCGGAAGAAAAAAAGTGATTTGATCAAATAATTGATGAAGTTATCCATTTTCCCATCATTGATGCAATGCTCCAGAATCGAAGACAGATTAGCAAGTGGAAAGGATTATGATTGCGAAGAGCAGTCGTCAAAAATGAAATGTTTGGCAGATAAAAATGATAAAAGTACCGTATTGGAAGTAGCAGAAAACTACTCAAACAGTACCAAAAATTTTTATGGCAGTTATAGTAATGATCATAAACACGTTATAACACCAACAAATATAATTATTAAACTTCCTCATGAAACAGTACCGGAACGAAGGTGTATGTCTTTTATCTGTTAACTGTCCTGTATCCTCACTCTTTTTTGTGTATGATTTTGTTTTTCTAATTAAGCATTCAAAATGTACGTTAAAAACGTGATAGCATGGTTACTATATAAACTAATTATAAATTACCGGTGAATATATTTAAGATAGGAAAAAATTGCACGAAATATCTGAATCATAATTTTTGGTTAAAGTAATATTTAACAATAGCACTGACTACTTTCAATTTCATGTATCAATTAAGATTATTGGAATGTGAGATAATTTTAATTTAACATCAGTTCACTTTACTATGAATAATTACTACTCTATGCAGTTTAAAACGAAACAACAATGTTTTATACATGAGCATAAATATTGAAAAATAAATTTGGTGAGTCGATATAGCATGGTATTGTATTGTACAGTAAATATTAGGTAGTAACAATATTTGGTAATAAGTTTGATTCCTAAACATAAGATGTTCTAAGCATGCAGACATAACAATTGTATTGTACTTACACTTCATTTCCTTTCACTCTTTATGTCTTTGATTCGTTTACACACTTTTTGCCTTATATACGCCATTCATATTTTTCCTCTTACCATTATAATTTGAATGACATTCAATATTAATTAACGTGTGAAGTTGAAACGTACTTTTTATATCACTTCTATTGGTTCAATCCTTTCTCTAAACTATTTTAGAATCAGCAAATTTTAGAGCAAATTTTGGTATGCTAAAAGATGAATGAAACTCACCGCATGAATTATAACATCCATTGATTCTCATAGAAGTATAAATTAAAAATTAGCCTTCTTTTTACTCCAACTGTTTTCTAGAACAGATAATCATATTCTTGCATTCTAAATTTTATAAATTTTGAAGCGAGTAAAAATTCATTCATAAAACCGTCAAATGTTCATGAACTAATACGACAAAATGATGAACTACCAAGAGATCGAGCTGTTCTTCACAATCAAAGAGCTAGCATACCATACTGTGAAGATTGCAAACAAGAAATACGGTAAATTGAAATTTTTTTTTCCAGAGTAAAGTGGGATTTAAAAAATAAGTAATTAGTTACTGGCATACAATAACTATGCAACGAGTTCTCTTTCGCAATGAAATGAATAATAAAGAATTAAATAACATTCTTAATATAATAGAAAAAATTAATTGCATTAAAGAATAAGATATGTAACAATATCTTTGCAGGGGAGCATATGTATTGGCAAACGGTTTATCATACTGTCCAAATCATTTCATTTGCTCTAATAAATCTTGCGGTCGAAAGTTGCTCGATATTGGCTTTGTTGAAGAGAAAGGAAGAAAATATTGTGAGCACTGCTTTGAGACTGAAATCGCTCCACGTTGTGCTAAGTGTAAGCAGCCAATAACTGCTGTAAGTCAAAACTATTCATACCATATTGTAATTTTATATTTTGGTATTATACTTTAATAATTTTGAGCAAAAAACAAAAGTCTATCAAAACAGTAGATACAGACAACAACAAAAAAACTGCCACCTATGTAATAACTTAAATTAACCTTCATCTTATTGACAGTGTTTGTTGATATTGCTCTTGAGCCTTGAATATTTAGCTACTTGACAAAATCTAGTTTTTATTCTTAAGGATTGCCTAAATGCGCTTCAACAACAATGGCATCCACATTGTTTTGTTTGCACACACTGTCATAATGCATTCGGAAATTCTGCGTTTTTCCTTGAACAAGGGCAACCATACTGTGAAGCTGGTAACCATAGTACACTGTAGTAAACTCAATGAACTCCTTCTCTTAATGGCCCATAAATTCATGAAGACATTCTTGTTTTAATTCTTCCGTTTTCAATGCTATAATGATCCACCAACAATAATAAATGCATCTATTTTTCTAGATTGGAATGCATTATTCACAACGAAATGCGTGTCATGCCATTATCCAATAGAAGCCGGTGATAGATGGGTGGAAGCACTTGGTGCTGCATTTCACTCCAACTGCTTCAACTGCACAGTGAGTTTTATAAATTCATGGCTTTGAGTAAAAATGAACAACGACTGCACCTGATGACTGCGATGTATATTAGAGTACGAAAGTCTAATATTTTATCGTTTACAAATCCATGTAATGGAGCACAGCAAAATAAAAAGTTTATATTCAGCCCAAAGTCAATTTTTAATCGAAAAACATTTATCTTCTTGATAAATCACCTTGAATTGCATTTCAGAGTTGCAATGTAAACTTAGAAGGGGAGAATTTTTATGCTAGAAATGGAGCACCGTATTGCAAATTACACGCTTAGGATGAATGTGAAACCAGAAACTATTTTTCAGCACTGATCAAGCAGTTACGTAGAAAAGCTATAATTTCTCTTCAAACTTATAAGTTGTGATCTTATACCTTCGAATCTGACTCACAATTTATGTTTATTCTAGCTTCTCATTATCTAATGAAGTTCAGTGATTCTTCACAATGCGAATGACTTCAAAACGACTATTCAAGCATAATAAATTCCATAACGACCATAGGTTTAAAATACAGAAAATTTTGATAATAGAAAAAACAAAACAGAACGGGCATACTAGCAGAAACCATCAATTACATCAATGTAGCTGTCATCATTTTAGCTTAGATTGCATTACTATCCGGTTAAATTTACCAATGTAAATAAGCATAGCAGCTCGAAATAATCCAGCAAACAGAACCTAAAGTTTCAAAAATGAGTTGGGAAGTGTGAGTGGAAATAAAAAAAAAGAAATAATATATTTACCTGAGTGAGAGCACGCATGAAGCTTTTTTCTGGACCACCACCCGCCGACAAGTCTCCAAGTACACAGCCTTCTAGACCAACATACGTATTAGAGTTACCAAAAGATAAATCATACATCAGATGTTCCGCAACTGCCTTGGGTTCAAACAATCCTGCACTAGCAGAAATTTCTTGCAGTTCTTTTGGCATAGACAACATCTCACGCTTCAATAAAAATTTATTACAGCCATGGTTACCAATTTATCTTTCAAATTTCAGAAAAAATTCTGAACTTTCACATTTTAATATTTGAGAAAAAGGTAAAAGTGTCGTCCAATAACTCAACGATTTTTTGAACAGTAAATTTTAAAAACTCAAACCTGGTAACCTTCAGTATTTGTATTTGGAGGATAAATCGATAAAACTTGTACATGATACGGAAGTAATTCCATATGCAATGCGTTAGCAAAACCTTGCAAAGCGAATTTCGTTGCTCCATAGGCAGTATATCCCCAAACTGGACATCGACCTGCGGCAGAATTCACAAAAATAATATGACCACTTCTAGCTATTTTCATTTTCGATACTACTGTTTTCGTTAAATGCACCTGAATAAATGATGTTATTTATCAGTAATTATTTTGTTGCCATAAAAATATAGAGATTTCTACATCCAAAAAATATCGTGACTTCTTGAAAACAAATCAGATTGAAAAAGGAGAAATTTCATTACAATCTCGCACACGAAACCACAAAAAAAAACCGCGCTTAAGAAATTTAGACGCATTTGCTGCTCGAATAATGATATATCTAGCGAATCAAATGTTCCTTGTACTGCAAGGCCGACATTATTAACAAGAATATTAATATCCCCGAGTTCGTTCTCTGCTTTTTTAACTACTGATTCCAGCTAAAAATTAATTCATAATAAGTACTGATTTCTATCTTCACATGAAAAACTTAAAAACTTTAAGCAAATCCCAACATAAAAAGAATCAAACTTGGATGTTCCCAGAGCTCTAAAATAAATATTCTGGACGTGCTGTAACCTTTAATTAATAAAAAATAGCTAATATATCTTACTACTTCGTAGGGTAAAGTAACATCAATACTGTAGTATCTCGCAACTGCATTATTTTGTTTGGATTTTGCAAACGCATTTAATTCATTGCACGTTTGTTTGAGCTGATCCTCATCACGTGCAAGCAAAGAGACAGAACAATCACGCTCTATGAAAGCCAAAGCTATAGCCTTTCCGATTCCTTTTGATCCACCTACAAATTAATGACTTATTATTCATCGTTCAAATAAGATTAATCAGAGCTGAATAATGTGTTATATGGAAAAACAGTGAACCAAGAAATTTCAATAATCAAATCAAGAGAAAGCTTAACTTTAAAGTAATCCAAACCTTGATACAAATCTGCTAGTTAGAATAATTAACTAAAAGAAATGCACGGCTTATTGAATTTAAAGGGGATACAGAACAATGAAAATAAGAAGTCTGCACACTCAGCCAGATCAAGTAAATGATTTACCTGTAATTAATGCATGTTTCCCTTTAAAGATTAGTGGTTCCTTTCGGGGTAATGAAATGTATACTAAAATTAACAGCAAACCATAAATGAAAATCACAACAAATGTAAAGCACGATACGAGGAAGAAGATATCCATTCTATTCTGCAACTTCTGTCAACTGAAAGAACATCGCTTTTAAGATATTTTCACTACGGCAAGTCATTCATGCCGTTTAAAAACTACCAGAAATGCGAGATAAATAAAATACTGGGCATAATTTTAACAATGTAGCATGCCTTTCATAAACTTCATGAAATTACATTATCTATTTGGTTGTATGATAAAAGTACTCCAGAAAACAGAGCACATAAAAGTACGACTCATGTTTCTTTCACATCAGGCGAATTCACAGTTAACGGAAAATAATCGTAACAATAATCCTGACTAGGTATTCTTAATTACTTTCAATCTAATATGCATAAAACGATTCATGGTTAACCGATAAAAGATGTAAGGCGACAGGCTTATCAAAAAAACGTCCATAAATTGAAAGCGCAGCCCAAATGAGATGTATGTCCCTTGTTTCCACAACTACTGATCCTTTATGACTGATCTCGTCAAACGGACCAAACGAATAACACGGTGCTGCTTTGCCCAGAATTACACTTATGGCTTCATCGACCAGATTTACGAAACTATCCGTAGTAAATGTGTCTGTTAGCGCCGTTTCAAACTCACTAGAATTGTTACTATGTACAACTGACAAAATAAATATATCATAAGCGTACAGATAAACAGGTTGCTTCTCCTACAGAACAAGAAGAAGCAACTTGTTTAACGGTAGCTCCAGCAAGTCTAAAAGAAACCTGAATTACTCAGACACCAAATATGACCAGTCCCACAAGCACGCCAACCTGTACAATACACGGAGTATTACAAAAAAATACATTACAGAAGAAAATCTGCCAGAAATTAAATCCTGCATCGAAAAATACCTTTATCTTTCATACTCTTCGAGTGATAGACTTATGAAATGGTCCTTTCACTCTTGTTCTTTAGAACCCCATCAAACAGTATAGCAGTTCTATGTACAGAGAAAACCCGATACATTAGAAAATGATCAACAAAAACCTTTAACAGAACCATTACATTTGGTTTTAGGTTTATCTACAAATTAAAAAAGTAAAACTTACACTTTTAAAGTTAATCGTCTTCGGCCAAACAAATGTCTTTCTTCTGACATACGTAAAACTTCAAAAATCTGCAACTATGCTCAGGGTGTGCTATGACACGTGCCGATAATGCTTAAAATAAATAGTAAATGAATTTATATTCCCCAGAATGAGCTTACAAAGGCAATCACTTTAATTATCATACCCCATCAAACTAGTTCTATTTGATCACTCCTACAGAAATAGACAAGATTTCAAACAAATAACCACCTGAAAACATAAAACTAATAATGCGATAAAAAATCGGATCATTTCTACGTAAAAATAAGAGCAAATTGAAAGAATAACACTAACTACGGACATCGTAATATTGGTTAAAAAAGAGACTTTTATTCATTAAAAGAAAGTTTTCGAAAGATAAACTGGTAGTAAAAACAAAACACATAAATGAAATTCCAAAGTTATGCATCAGTATTGACAACAAATACAGAAACATAACGCCTGATATTCTCAACGACAATATAGTTTATCATTTATCGAGTTTTCTTCAAGATAACTGTCCCGCGTCCTCTTTTCAATACTTCTACACCAAAAAATTGTAGCACAAGACTGATCTACAAGGAAATGTGCATAATTTCATCCACAAAAAAATTAAAGAAGATTTTTGTATAGAAAAAACAGTTTTTGAATCTTGTTCAAATTCTAAAGAAACAATAAATTACCTGTCGGAAATTGACCCAGTGTCTCACAATAATTTCACGTTGGCCTTGATCGCGAATGAATCTTTCAAGTTTTCGCTGTAATGCTCCTAGTGCTATACATGGCCTAAAATTTACTTCTTTAATAAAGCGAGACAAAACCCGTACTTTTTCAGTGTAAAAGAAGAATGAGAACAGGATAATAGAATATAATTACTTGAGAAGGAATTGTTGCTTTGCAGAAGTCTGTGGAACATGAAAATTTTCATCATTATTTGAAGACTCAACCCAATCTGACTGTTCATCATCTGCTTCACGACCATCTGAAGAGCATGTATCAGATGATGAGAGTTCACTCGTAGAGCAAATACCATTCCAGTCCATTCCTAAATTAATGCTACCATTAAACTTTCCAATAATTTTTATTAATTATTCACGATAATCGGAGAAGAATAAACACGAAAAAAACTAAATTCCATACTGCTTTTAGTTGTAACATTTGATCCAGAAGTAAATACATCAATATCCATATCATCACATAGAGTTCGTCGCTTCACAATCTTTCTCTTTCGCTTCATACGCTCAAACTCTCGAGGTATACTTCCTTCTGCTTGACTATCTGATTCAATGGTAAAAGAAGCCACACGTTTAGCTACAGTACATTCAATTTCGCTCTCATCATCCGTATGCATTTTCTTTCCCTTTCGAAATATGAAATTTATGCAAAAATAACAACGAAATTCATGAAAATAAAGAAGTTCGAAATTAAATTCGTCCCCAATACATGACGTCGAAAAATGGAAATATTGTTTTGACAAAAACATATATCATTGATTGATAAGATAGTACGGTTGAAAACTCGCGATCTCAAATAATTTATTATATTCTGTAAACAAAAATTTTTACTTATAACGAGATAATGCATAGTAATATGGTAACAATGCACATAAATATACTAGCAATAATTTCTCACAATGACTGAGATCATTTACACAGACAAAACTGCGTGACTCCTAATTACATAAAACTATACTACGGTAAGAGCTAACAACAATACGGAAATAGTACAGTTATTTCTGTTTACATTAAGAAAAATTCAAAGACATATACTTCATATCAAGTTGATTTCGTCTAAAAAGAACCTTTGAACGCGGTAGACCTGCACAATCATTTTGTACAGAAAAATTTTCCCTGATCCTATTTAAACGAGATTTATTTTACGAAATTTTGAGTAAGATGAAGTAAAGCTAAATTCAATAAAAATATCAGATTTGCCTTATGCCATAAGTAAAAGCGAAATCAACTAGCAGGAGAAAACAGCTTCAAAAAACATACCAAAAAATGCCGATATAGGAAGAATCATGATTGAAATAAATATAGGAAATATGATCAGCTATGAAAAGCAAAAAAAGATGTCCAGATAAATACAGAAACTTGGAATAAGTAATAAATATAAGGAAAGTTTTCAGACAAAATGAATGATACATAAAATTGCCATAACGAAATCAAAGAGCCACTCACTGAAATATACTTTTTACACTTTTTCGAAATTTTTAAATCATTGTAACTATTTTAATAAAGTAACAATTTTATTGCTTTTCGATTCAACAAAGCGATTCACAATAAAGATCTAAATTAAAAAATGGAAAAGGCAATCAAATTTGCATACAGAGACCCAACAAGTTTAAAATAAGCAACGCTGAAATCCTGAGTAAAATACACTAAAATATAATATTATAACGTAACACATAACTCTATAATACTGTAACAGTTTTTAAGCAAATACATCAAAAACAAAAAAAACAAATAACTTATTAAAATATAGCTTTTTTAAAGCACTCATAAAATTCCTGAATGATGGTCTTGCTCAGTTTGCTTATTTATGTGCATTAACATTAGAGCCTGATCTTTATGTGTAATACGCATTATACCAGGTAATTGCAGCCAAGCTTCACCATCACATTGCATTGGTAATGTTGCATCGAAAATTCTTAGCTTTAGAGTATGTCCTTGAGCAAGAGGAATGCCTTGAGAAACACCAATTTGCATTTGTGCAATGTGAAATGAAGACCGTATCCCAAAAACTTCAAACTTCCCTACAATTAAAAAATATTTGAATTAAAAACAGAAAAATTTACTAATTGCTTATCAACTGAAAATAAATTCAACCCTAAATTTGCAATGTTTGCAAGAAAACTATGTGATGTTTATGAATCTTAGAAGTACTAAGAAACTGATAAGAAAAACAATACACTGATAACTTTAATAGCTAAATGAATGTTTAAGTTCCATACTGCATGATCTCAAATATTATTTTCATGCACTCAAAACAAATGCAAAGAAACATTCAAGTTTACCATCATCTATAGCTTGCTGAGAAAATAAGTCGATGCAAGGTCGTACTCCTGCACCCCAAAACGGAATATTTAGAACGGTTAAGCCTTCTATTGATGGTAGAGGAATGATTTCACCATCAACGGTTAATTCAATTTTCTGATTTAGATTGGCACATGCATGCTCCAATACATCCTCAACTAACAGTGGAATTACATTTGCAGCTTCTTATGACAAAATGACAACAGTTATAAAATTTAAATCCCTTTCTAGCTACATTTCATCTTTTATGACAAAAATTACCTTTGTTCCAAAAGTAAAAAACAGAACTTTGTTCAGGAACCGAGACGACACCATTTTACGAATATAATCCCGAGTTGACTGCATGCCTACAAACGAATGTTTAAACATCCTACCAATTCTGTTTACACAAGAATCCCCGTCAAAATTTGATGCATATTGTGTAACTGACTTCAAAATTCTTTCTACTAATAACATTAAGAGACCCCAAAAGTTTGTAACGGCAAAATTAAAGAATATACGACCTTAGACTAATAATCTAATAATATTACCATGATCGCCAATAATTACAATCCTTTCACAATGAATAGCATAACACTCAAATAAAATTCGCGCTATATTTCCCCAAATATTCAGCTTATTTTTTGCTAGATAATTAGATGGTATGTATAAGTTTTAAGAAACACTCTTACCATAAGTAACACAAGCATCCACACCGACAGAGATATAATTCACCATACTAAACTGTTTGTTTTTGGCTCGGACACCAAAGCGTCTTTTGTGAATAACATCAATGGTCCATCTATCTAAGTTCACCATCTTGGCACTTCTCAAATCACGGCAAAACTGTAAGTTGCAGCAATTTTTTTTCATGTTCTTTCTTTGCTGGCAAATTCATGTAATATCCTGGAATATGGAAGTGCCCAAAGATCTACACATCATTACAGTCACGATTATTATAGACAGTAAAAATTAAGAAATGTTTTTGCTAGAAAGAAAACTTTTAAAATATTTAACTCCAGAGAACCTCAAAAAAATTAACAGGTCCTTCACGACTAGAGCCCCATCCTAGAGTGCGGCTCAGATCATTACCAGTTCCCAGTGGCAAAATAGCTACGGGTAGTTTTCGATGTAACTCGCTAATGGCATCCAAAGCTAAAGAAATGGTGCCATCACCACCAGCAACAATGATGCGACAATCGACATCAGGGTACAAATTGACCCAACGAAGTGCTGTTCCAACTGTAATTTGCTGAATATTTATAACCTGGAATAATGGAAAAACCGTAAAATTCAAATGGCGAATAAAATTGCATCCTTGAATTCAACAATGTGCACAATAATGAACATGAAAGATTAGTGTTGAGAAATACAAGAGAAATAAAAATTTGCAACTCAAAATTCTAAAAAATTTATTATCCACTCCAGCTTAAACTCATTCCTGAATTTGTTTTATATAGTTCAACAATCTATTACCTGAACTGGATGAAGAAGCATTCGAAAAGCTCGTAACGTAGCAAATCCTTCTGCTCCACCACTAATTGGATTAACAATAACAAAAAGTGGCTTCCATGATGAGCAATCAGTATTTTCCGGCCGACGAATTGAATCAACAACTGGCTAAAAAAACATTAAAATTGATATCTAGGTATCAAAAGTATTAATTGCGTAAAATTAGTCTTCTGTACAACAAACATTAATTCAAGTGAGTGGTCTAAAATTCACTTAATCACTTTTAGGAAAGTCAAAGGTAAAACTCTTAAATCAAGTACGCAATTAATAAATGTGCTTATTACAGAGTAAACACAGAATTAACGGATTAATTGATAAACTTTGAAAAAAAAGTGATAATGAAAATACTCAGTTTTAAACTATTGATTATGACTGAACAAAATGAATATTTAATGAATATTTAAGACTGAAACTAAAATTCAGACATGTTTATTGCGACGACTTCCAACTTTACGCACTGTAACACAAGTTGGTGGAACAATGAAATCCCAATTGACACCCATATTGCACAATTCATTCATTAACTGCTTACATTGTGCATGCACAGTAAACTGAAATCTTGAAACTTACAATAAATTAGATTTTTTTCTACATTACACTGGAATGCAAAAATATGACTAACTTGACAAAAAGCGCATCGAGAATCCACCAGTCCTACACCATCACCACATTCTTCTTTACAAACATCGCAAATACTACTGGACGGCAAATTTCCATGGACCTAAAGGAAAAAATTTTTTGAGCAAAATGAAAAAATTTGCTAATAAAACTTGAAAAATTATTCAATTGGTAGTGAATCTTGACCTTCTACTGTCAGCTTTGTTAATCAACAGTAAAAGATGGTAAGATTCACCCAATGATGCATAATTTCTCCACCTGTCGATTTAGGAATTACTTTACAATTAAGATCGTTTGAAAGCATTCGAAGGCAAGCTAAACAATCAACCATAACTCCGCAGTAATCACATTGCATGCCTGTTCGCATTCCATTCTCACAGTAATTGCAATAATAGCTCATATTGTCGTCACAAATGCTGACAAAGTGATGTCCACCTAAGTAAAATAGTCCTATTTTAATAAAATTCAGTAATTTCGATTATGACTAAAAGAAGACAAACAATCTATCAAATGAATTATCTTCAATTTTGAAAAACAAACTTACTGGAAGAGACGTCAACATCAAGCGAATAACACTGCATAATTTTGGGACGTAGGACTTTCTTCAATATATATACCACAGTTAATAATGCCACCAAAATAATAAGTACTTGCCATATCATTTTATGACCAAACAAGCTCACAATCAGGTCAAAATGTGACTAATTGTAAAAAGTACTTTAACTTGACCTCTTTTTTCGCGTTCTCTCTCACTACTTGCACTTCATTGTTTCTATTTGTTATGTTGCAATTTGAATATCAACCAGTAGCGTTAAAATGATTGTGAGCAAACTGTGCAGGGTTTGGTGTGATGATAAATCTCTCTAGTATATTTTAGGGTTTTAGGGCGGGGACTTTAGAGTGGATTGCTAGGTAACATGAGTTGCTGCGTCAGCAGGGAACTTATTGTGATTCTAGAAAGGCAACAAAGAAGTGTTCATTATCTGCTTAAAGAATTTGTTGTTTATCTAGCAAAGCTTGTTATCTGTTGGGTGAAGTTGCTATCAGCTGGGGAAAGTTGAGTATCTGCTAAAAATTTTTGTTGATAAAAGTTTGTTGTTTTCCAGTGAAAGATGATTACCATATACATGATTTGTGTTGCTGATATTTCAGAAATTATTGCTAACAATAAGCACATCACGCTGTCTTACTCGTTGTACTTTGTTGTCTGTTATTCATACTTGTCCAGTTCTACAATGGCTGCTTTTCGTGAAGTATAGTAAAGTAAGTGATATGATGGTGTGCATTACGCCATATGGATAATGGTTCACGTGGTTTATATATTATAAAGTGTAATAATGAAAAAAATTGAGTAGGTACTCGTTTTGTTTCAAAACTTGTAATCTGCATGTGTTTACATCGAAATTACAAGTTTGTAAATATAAGCAACACGGATGATGTATGGTCACTTTTCTATGACTATTTTGATACACGCTTTATTTATGCAATTTTCTGATGAAAAACTTCCCTATTTTTGATGCTTTCGGAAGCGTTTAAAACATTTTGTTTATCTTGTATTTCTGTTTCCTGAGCTGCGTTCGATGTTATGTGTAGCTTGTTTTAGTTCTGCATGCCATTATTTGCTTGTTATTTTGCGTTGCTTGCATGAATTCCAGGAAGGGTATGAATATAGTATGTACAATGAAGTACATTGCTTACTTGCATTTGAGCAAGCAAGTGCTCACCTGACAATCCCTTTCTACTGGCAGCAAAATTAACGCCTTTAAATACTTCTCGTTGATGGCTTTGCAAATGGATTTATAGTCTTTTAGCTATGCTTATATTTTAATTATCTTTTTTGCATGGAAAATTTGCTGTAACTATCATGTGCACAGAAGAATGAACCTTGAAATGTTTTTATTATTCATTATTTGTACTTTAAATGTTGACTTATGTTATGTACTTGGCAGTGACTTAAGCTGTAATTTTTTAAAAGCAAAAGCAATGATCGTAGTTTTTGTATCAACATTTTTTAAAATTTATGGTTTTTTAATTTTTCTACATAAGGCATAGAATAGTTTGCTAGATATTGGACTTTTGCTTTTAGAAACTGTTAAGGACAGCCAAGGTTTTGCATATTTCTAAGTTTTCGTTTGAAGAAATGATAAGTGCAGTCGATTTATCATTTTTAATTAAAAAAAGAGATCTATTTTTCTGCAAAATATTTTGTAAGAAAAGTAGTAGTTACAAAGAAATTATTCATTCATAAAGATTAATCTTCATACAATGCAGTCGAAGCTTTACCTAACTTGTGACATACTTTTTGTGACTTAGTTGAGAATCTTATCAAGTCCTGAAAATAATTAAAGGCACTTTAACAGCTATTACAAGGTGGTGTCAGCTGCAGTCTTTGTTTTTTCATTTTCTACTTCCCTTAAACTCACCTCTATTTATTCACTGTATGATAAGATTGGATTTAAGAATATTTAGACTTAAGACACATCACGTTTGAGACGAGCTAACTTACAGAGCTTAAAAATTAATATCGAAGGCTGTGTGCGCAAGTTTAGAAAGTTCAAAATGTTTCAGGATGTTTTATTTGATATTGTAGAGATGACGTGTCTAAGTTTGAGAAGAATTTGCATACAAATAAACTTCTCTAACACGTTCCTCTAGTTCTTTTTTCACCGCAAATACGTATTTCCTTCTGAGAAAGAAAAATGGGGTAAGAAAATGTATTTAAAATTTGCATATCTATACTGATAGCTAGCATGAGCTAATACCATATTTTGTCAACGCACAGCCTGTTCGTTACGTCGTTATGGATGAGCTCCATGATTACTATATGTCTGGGTTTTTACCTCTCTTTTATCGTCAGGTAATACACAAATTATTTTTATGTTTGGTAAGACTTGAATTTGAGACTTTATTGTAGTCATTAGTGCAATCTTTAGTTTTAAAATTTTATATGACTCTCAGTAATCAGCCTATTATTTCCTCCGTTTCTTAAACAGTGATAATCTTCACACCGATGGCTACTGTTGCACTGTTAGTTATGGATTTGCTACTTATTGTTCTTTTACTGAAATAAAGTTAGTCTTCAATCTACGTATAGTTGGTCTTCATACGAATAATTACTCGATTGTCTCAACATATAAATTCGAGGGACGAAGGTGATTTGGTCGACACACACGGAACTGCACTTGCTCATTTTAAGTCAGCATTGTTTTTGTTGCACTTGCTATTTGATATTCATTTAATCTTCCTGTGATAGCAAAATATGGATGCAAGCGGGACGTGTTGCGAATAGCTTCAAGCAAATCGAAAGAACTACTAAAATCAAACATCACACTTTCGATCTGATGTATTTAAAAAAGATGGTTTGATGAAATGGCTAGCCTAGTAAGCACTTTTTTAGGCTTTTATGGCCAACCTCATGATAATCTTATTGATTTTCTATCTCTGCTGAGAAATAAGATAGTATTATGTTATGACATTAATAACCAGGAAATAATTATGAAATGCTTAGCTGCCCCGTAATGGAAGAATTATGGAGATGCTGTTTTAGATATCACCCTCGTTTTTGAGATTTTGGCAGGTTTTGGAGAATTCGCTCAATTTCACTTTTCTGCAGTTTAAAGTTTTCTCTTGCATTTACAGTACTTTATGGGTGAAGCAGTTTCTCCACCCGTTTCGTCATCAACTAGTGGCCCACGTTTTCGGATAGTTCCAGGTCCAGTTTTAGGTGAAAACAGTCGTTCAAATCTTCCGCGAAGTTCATGTTTGACGTCATCCGTGAGTTTTCAATGTATTTGATGTAAAATGGTTGTAAAACTTTTGTGATTCCATATTTCCTCAGCCATAATTTTAGGCTTCGACGCCATCGTTCGATTCGCAGTTGAACAATCAGGAAATGCAGCTACGCCCCGTGCAGTATGTCATGTTGAACCAAGGTAATGATTTGAAGCATACTTATTTTTTTTATTCACTGGATGCAGTTATTCAAATTCTTTCGTAATTATGCAGCCTTTATAATTTATTTCTTCTCAGTTCAGGCTGTTGCTTTTTGTTTAATTTACGAAAAGGACGTTGTTTAAAGAACTGTGCATTTAAGTCATGATAGAATAAAAATTTTGTAAAATTGGCATGTATTGGTTTCTATCCTACATCCAGGTAACAATATACAAAGTCAGCAGATGCGTACTACAAGTGCTGCTGAGCAAGCGAGCATGGTTTCTAAGTGTGCTCGCTTCTTTAAGACACTCATACATCTCTCGCAACAACCAGATCAACAACAAGGACAACAAACTGCTATGCGTGTTACTGAACTTGTTAAAGTAAATTACATTAAATTTTTATTATATGCGATAATGATAAGAAAATTTGTTTAAAATAAATTCTTCTCGTGTAACAATAGTTGTATTAATCATTAATGAATCGTACTAGGTATGGTATTTTATTTCAGTTTGTTATTTACGGTTCAATGCCTCCAGAAGTTTTTACCAGCCGTCTACAAGAAGCTTTGCGTTCACAAGCGCAGCCTCATTTACTTCCATTTTTGCAGAGAGTATTTTTTTAATTTATTCGATTCTATAACTAATGTTCTAATTTCTTCAATAAATGCTAGCACATTTGTATTTGAAGTATTACCGACACAAAATTCTAATATATTATATTGTTGGTTTTTTCATTAATACTCAAGCTCGATATTATTTTCATTTTACTGGTAACTGCGTCAAATGATCATAAAAAATTGTCTAGCCCTCTTTATTTATAAGTTTTTACTTCGAATGTTCCCATTCTTTTGGTGACTCCTCAAAAATTGTTCGATTTTCTTCATTAGTTAACGACTTCTCATCCAACTTTCTAATCAATCCATTATCAGAATAAAGAATGAAGTAACGTTCTACTTACCAAGTATTAAATTGCTGCAGTTCTAAATCAGTATAACGTCATTTAAGACTTTACCAGCGCTACGGTCAGCATTACAAAAAGGTGAAGTAGTTATCGAAGGAATTAGTGGTTCAATTCCGCAACAGCCAACAATTCTTGATATTTCTCATTCTACTCCGCAGTGGAATGCAAATAATGCGCAGCGTACAAACAACGAGAATTCTTACATGTCACAGGTAGAATTGCTTAATATTTCTATTGTAAAAACTGAAATAGATTTTTCATCTAATTTTTTTTTCAAATGAATGCGTATGTTATAGTCCCTGAATGTTTACGTTGAATTTACTTGTTGCTTAAAGGCTATTTTACTGGTGAAGAGGAGTTGTTTGCTTCAATTGAAACATATTTGGGACTTCACTTTTTTTAAAGAGATCAACTAGTGTTGTTCCACCACCCTTAATGATGAATAGCAGCGTGGGAAGCTATTCGAAAACTGATGGAAGCGATGATTATTCAATAGAAGAATCTTCTAGTGAAAGTGAAGTCCGTACATTGTCTTCTACTCAAACTCAGCACAAGCTTTTAAATGGAGATGTAATTGCGCGGTAAATTTTCGGCATCAAATATAATGATGCGTTGTAAAAACATCTGCTTAATTTTGTTGCCAAATTTCTAAATTACAATTTCACCTTTAATGTGAAAAAAATATCCGTTTATCTTAACTGTGCAGAAAATTCTGGTCATTAAGATAATTTGAATTTGGATATTTTAGTAAAATTCAGCGTATAATGCCTGATGGAGGTGTTCCTCAAGATGAAGTGATTACTATGATTTCCCAAGCTGCAGAATCGAGATTGCGAATAATGTTGACCAAATTAGCTGTTGTTGCAGAGCATCGTTTAGAGCCTCTACGAAATCATCCTTATTATCGAGTAACTTTTTTTACTTTGAAAGAAACTTAATTTGTTGTCGACTATTTTTCTTAAATATGTTATATGCAGCTCTCTTCTTATATATTTCAATCTTTTCAGGCAATTGATGATGCTCGTCGACAACTTCGTTTCGTAGAAGAATTAGAGCGTTTAGACTATGAACGTAAAGAAAATCGTGAAAAAGAAGCATTAATTCGACTTAGTAAAACTAGAGGAAAGGACAAGGAAACTTTGGTAGAAAAAGCAAAGCAGGTAAAGGTCAAATTTTATTGTATTTGACTGAATTCAGCTCTGCATCTGTATCTTAAGAACGAAACTTATATACATTATTGTAAATCATTTGCTTACTACTTTCAATTTAAGTTGCAAAGAGCTGATCAGGAGGCTGCTCGAAATCGTGATGCCAATGCTGCCGCAATAGCAGCTTTAGGTGGCGGGAAAATTAACAAAAAACCGTGGTCAGAAATGAGCAATCCGCTAGACCAACCGATATCCTCTGGAATTTCTCTTCAGGTCTTTTTTATAGTCTAGAAATACCGTTTCTATTTACGATAAAGCGTGAAAACGTTATTTTTCAGTCTGATTGCACTAATACAATTCGTTTTCGATTCAGCTATTAATACTCAATTTTTAAACATTTATGGCTTAAGTTCATCAAACTGTTCAGACCCAGAGACCTCGTACGAAGCGTGTTACTATGCGTGACTTGCAATTGGTGATATCTCAAGACCCGATCGCTCGAACTTCGCAATTGAGACATCGTTTGGCTTTGTTCAATTATGCCAGTGATACTGTTTCTTCATAATTAATGAATTTGCATTTAAGCATCAAATTCTTTGCAGATCTTTGTTTTCCTTGTTATGCTGTTATGCATTTGAAATCAAAGAACGTTCTATTTTCTTAAGACTCAGATAATTTGTTTACTTTTCATATCTCCATTTTGACAGTTCGTAATTGTACTTCACCACTAGTTTGTTCTTTCTTTCCTGTATCTTACAAAATACTCTTATCATAATTTTCTTGTACTCCTATTCTTACGTTTCTGTTCTTATGCTTCCACTTTTTTAGTTTGTGCACTTTATCATTAAAAAGCTTTGGTGCTTGATCATGTTAATGCATGTTTAACTTTTTTCATCAAATTCTGATGAAATATTGTATTTTAAATGGATTGGATTTCATGGTACGATTCAGCTGTTATGCAGGTAAATGCAAGAGTATTAATGAATATGTTGAGGCAGTCATTTATGGTGCATTTCTGAAATCCTGCAATTGGATGAATTCTCGAGCATAATGAGGTTCTCCAAATTATGTCGAAACTAAATCAGTCTCCATTCTAGTTGGAGATGGATTTATTATACGTTATGTGATGGCTCGAGTCTTAGTGTATTTTGATTTATATTATGTTGGGTAATGGGTACATCGGATTTTCTGACCACATTTTTGACACGTATACGTGTTATGGACAGGTCTTGCGTATTGAGAGTGAGATTCAATTTTTCTCTTACAGTTTCACATTGTTAGTAACTTGTGGAATGATCCTAGTTTTAGGATTGAGTGCAGACATACATTTTATTTCGTTAGTAGTGACTGTTACTGATTGCAGTGAACGTTTCTGAGCAAAGCGTAGATTAGCAACATGCAGTAACTAATGATAAACTGCACCCAATCATACTGAAAGTATGAGTGCTGTAAATTTTTGAGATTTCTTCATAAATATTGAACAGGATTCTCAGCAGTATTTGTATTGAGAAGTATAAAACGATGGTAATGAGAATCGAAGAGAATTTGTAATTTATTTGAAGTTATTGTCCTTTTAATAGGATCCAAACTAGTAAATTGAAGTATTCTTGGGGAAGGTTATGTATGATCCGATACTTCTAAATAAATTTATGGGTTTAGTGAAATAACCAAATGGAATCAAACAGATCATTCCAGAATATTTTAGATTCTACCATGAAACAATATCGATATAAGAAATGACTGATGTGAAATAAATGTGGGATTTTGCCATCGTAATCTTTCTGTCAACATTGAAACATTTGAGTAGCCTTTGATGATGGAAATATAGGACAATGATACTATTCTGTGGTTACAACATTAATATTATCATATATTATTGTATCATTATCAGCACTTTGCCGTCAGTGACTATTTTATTTGAGTCTCTTAAAATTTGTAATTCAAATTTTATTAAAATATGTACAGATCGTTCAGTTACTTTTCGAATTCAATCACTAGTACCAATTTTAGACTTGAAAGTAAATTTCGTTTTTAGTCTCTCAGTAGTGTGTTTAAAATCAACAGCACTCACAAGGTATTCAGAATGAAACTGTTCATCATTTTTGTGCAAATGATTGTGTACACTTACACAAAAAAGAGTACTGAACAGCAAAGCGAAGAAACAGTTGAAAGCCCAGGTTTGAAATCTGTCGTATATTGCACTTGTAAGGTTTCAGAATTACTGATGTAATTCAAAATCCTTGTTTCTTAGAGGAATAATTAATAAAAGTACGAGTTTCATTTATTTAGTTATTCGTTTTTTCATTCATCATTTTACAATTTATAATTTAGCTAATGCTGCAAAGATTTTTAAATTATACTAAATTTATTGTTACGATGAAGGTTAAAGTGAGAATTAAATCAAAGCAGATATAATATTTAATTTTTTATTTGAAAAAAGCTTTGGTAATTACACAGCGTAATTTTTTTAATGATTACGAAAATAATACAAAAGGAATAATTAAACAGTGCATACAGGTTACCGCTGTCTAACACAGTCATTGAATTACTCATGTTAAATTGCACTTTTCAAAACAGTTTCAATTTATGAAGCAAAGGTCACGCTTGATAATGAAAATTCTGCTCTTATATTTCAATACAATATTTAGTAATGGATCGTCTAGCAAAAAATTTGGCTGGTGCTTTTGTGAAATCTCTGCTACCAGATTTGGATTCGTCAAGTAAAACTATTCAAGAATTGCCAGATGTTCGTCGTTCACCAGCAACATACCGACAAAGTTTGCTGCCACCACCGAATAATTTGTTTTGTATGTTTTTGTCAAAAAATTTGATTTCGAATTACATATTTTTTAATGCAGTTTTTGCTTAATAATTATCATTAGTGTGGAAGTTTTGAATCCATAGACTGCTTTTTTTTAATAATACTAACTACATTTTTTGAACTCACTGAAACTATTCGAAAATCTGTATCAATTAATCATGATCGTAAAATCAATAAAAATAATCCAGTTTTTGAGAAATGCATCATTTATATGCGATCTTTTAAAAAAAATACTTTCATTAATAAATTTTGCATGAAAATTGCAATCAGCATTACTTATTTTACGAAAAAAAATAACTAAATTAGTTTTGAAATATTTTTCAATAAAGTTACAAATGCATATTTTTCAGCTTCACAGTATCAATATGCGAATCCATATGAGCAACCATTACTGAATAACATCTATCCTACTGGTTATGCTACACTTCCAGCTCAAATGCAAATGGCCATAGCCCATCAAAACATGCCTTTATCACATTTGCAGATGCCACAAGCATATCCAGTATCATCCTGGTCATCAAATCCATTTGAAGCATTGAATGCAATACGTCAACAAAGTATAACGTTTGCATCTTGCTGAGATTTAAAAATTTGATCATTTTTGATAACTGTTGCATTTTCATAACATTTGTTTTATAACTACAGATCCAAATTTGAATACGGAATATCAACCGCTTGCAATGAGTGCTCAAGTCATGCCTAACAAAATTTTTACATCATCATTTCCTCTAACTGTAAGCTTATCATTATCACTTCGCTTACTTACTTAAAAACAAGCTTTCTACATGGTACATGTTGATATCAGCCAAATATTAACAGATTTTGTGCCTCATTATTCAATTGAATTTAATAATATTTTCATTTGGAATGCACGAAAATTCCAACTTGGGAAAGTATTTTTTTCTTCTAAAAGTAGCTTTAAGTCATTTAATCATAAACAGATCAACAAATTTCATGAGTTTCATCAAAATCATGAGCAAAATTTGGCACGTTATGATGAGGAGAATCCAGAACATTTTGATTATCAACATCATTACACCCAGGTAATATATGTACTGTAGCATATAGGTGCTTCAGTTAGTTTCGTAAAAGTTTAATTTCAATTTCGTTCATTCATATTTTGATTGCTTTTATTATTTTGTTAGCACATGCAGTGTGTTGAATTCGCTTCCTTACAAAGTATTGGTAATAGCATCATACGTTTAAGTCGTACCAAGTTTTCTTTGATACGGAAGAAGATAATAACACATCTGCAACTTTGGGAATTACATTAAATTCATTCTTTTATGAACAGTGCATTATTTCAATTACCGACTCCAAAATCATTTGTGTTCATCAGTAACTTTGTAAACTTTTTCTTTCTAAATCATAACTGTGAACAGCAACAAAATAGATTAAAAACCGAAGAAACATACCTAAATATTCCACAAAAACGAGAAAGACAAGAGAATTCGTGGAACAAATCCCTGCTACATCATTTGATTCCATCATGAACACAAATGATTATGTAAAACGTCGACATGAAACAAACTCGGGAGCTGTAAACGAATTTGATCCTAAATATCAGTATGATCAACAAACCGGAGGGCATGTGTTACTTACAGCTAAGAATAATGACTTTGTAAGACGATTTTCTGCTAGAGACCAGCTTAACCATGAATTACCTACTGATGGTTAGTTTTCCAAGTTATTTAAGGTGAAAAATTTTTATGGAATAACTTTACTCTTCAATATGCATAATTTTCCTTAAACTATAGTGAATCAAATATGTCCATGTTTAGTTTGTATGATGGTTTTTTTATTCCATATTTGTACTATTTAAATAATCTTTTTTTTTTACTATATCATACAGTGCTATAATTGCCGTTACTTTTCATTTAATTTATTTATGGTTCATTATCTACCAAGTGATAAAGAACGCTTTTATACTTTTCAACCTCAGTTAATACATTGAATATATTTGTTCTAAAATTTTTTTCTTTAATTATAGAAAAAATTAAGCTTTATTCTAGTCTTCAAATTCAAAAAAAATTATCAATCAAGCAGAAAATTTGAAACTTTTTGAGCTGTTATTACTTTGCAGTAATAAATAAGAATACATCATAAAAATTTATTTGTCTACTTTTCAGATGAATTAATAGCATATGCAAATTTTCTTTCATTTATTATTACAAAGTTGAGATAGCTTAAAAGTAATGCGGCAAAATTTAATTTGTTACTCGTAAAAACTTTTATCTCATTAAATAGTACAGCGGAGGTATCAAATTTTTATCATCAAACTAATTCATTGAATGCAGCGTGCAATTATTTACTTGTTTTTAAAAAATTATTTCATTTTTCATCACAAATACAATCAAATTTCACTGAAATATTTCATTTTTTAGAATACAAATTAATAGTTTCAGATAGTTACGAAGAGGCGACTAACAATGACGAAATGCTGAAGAATTTTTTCAAAGAAGTCTATCGAATTGATGTTCACAAAAATGGCGCAGAATTGAATAATAGTGAAAGAAATATCCTTCATAATTTGAAGCATTACTTAACATCCAAAGCTTACGAGAAAGCTCTTTCAGAAGGTGTTTTCGAAACGATGGCAGATTTCAAGAAGTAAATTATTTTTGTCTCTATCCTTTTTCCAGAACTTTTTATCAGCATATACGCAAGCAATGTTTTTTTCCTTTCTCTTAGTACGCTCGAAAGTGCTTATTCGCGAAATTTCGGAAAATACGATGAAGAAGAAGCGTTCCAAACTTGTGATAAGTGTATTCCTATTAATTTTGGTAAACTAAAAGGAACATGGACACAGGTTATTTGACAAAACTTTACTTCATGTATGTTACAGAAATTAATAATTGTTTCAGCACTAAAATTACTGAAATTTGCATATTTTTAATATTAAATTTCTTTTTATTAAGGTTGAGCTACGTCGTGTAGATCAGTATTTTTGTATTTCTAAAACAGTATTCATTGCTAATAATAGATTATTATGAATGCATAAAACGTAGTCCATATAGTAATAGTAATTATAAAATTCAAAAATAATCGATTTACCCGAAGCCATTACTGTTTCATTATAAGTTCATTTTCAGGTCTATGGAAATCCAAGTATTGTACAAAAAACTTTTTCAACATTGCTAAGTTTACATGCAGTATCATTAAAATCCAACATGATAACTTCATTCAGTCCAACAAAGCGTAAAACAAGTTGTGTCGGCTTACAATGTATAGTTTTGCCAGTATTGTTTTGTTTATAGATAAATGAAATTCTTATTAACGTGGAAGAAATAGATTTAACTGAGTTTAGTAAAGAAAAAACTGTGCTAATAAATTTTTAAAAAGTTCACATATAAGTATAATGAATAAAGCTTTTTAGCGCATTCATTATATCATTATAATTATTAAATTAAGTTCAATGAGTTCTCACAGTATCAAAAAGTCGACTACTGATCAAATTTTATTGTCGCTACGGCTGTAGAAATGTCTTAACGATTAATTTTAGCTTTTGTATGCGTTAAAAATTTTAATGTGATGGAATACGACCAAAAAATTTGCAGTTTAATATTAAGTACTTAGGTATTTGAGTTGGAAAGGACGTTTTGCAATCAAGTTCAATGCGAATGTTCTCTCGAGATGATTCACGTCTTCATGAACTTTTTGAAGTAAGTTCTTTTATAATGGTCGATTTGGCGTATTTTCTCATGTATTAGTATGCATTCCGTAAATAAATTAACAACAATTTGTAAATATCAAATTTTCATAAAGCAAATATGCCTGTTATAATAGTGTTTATTTACTTGTGCTTTTATAGATGACTGGTACAATGAAATCAGATGGATCGGAACTTGAATGGGATTTAACCGGTTTAAACATGAGAAGTGAATTGCATTCTTTGAATTTAAATTTGTTACTAGCTATTTTAATGTAAGCCAAAATAAAATAACAATTCATGCTTGCATTCAACAAATCAGTATAGTTTGAATTTGAGTAGTGTGATATATTTATTTCACCCTATAGAGCAACACTGTTGTGCTTTATGACTGATTTAAATTAAAGCTTTATAATATTTAACTTTCAGCTAAAAATGATAAGTTGTCATTTTTTTTAGTGTGTGCTGTATTTTATGGTCCAAAACGAAGCAAAAAGTATAATTACGTTATTTTTGTGGAAACGACAGGTCCATCTAAATGTGTTTCTTATCACGTTTACACGAGAAGTAGTAAATTATTCCATCAGAAATATTCCGAAAGTGTCGCAAATTTCATGAAAAAGGTATGTGTATGTGCTTTTGTTTTCAAACTACTAACTGTACATACCGCAATAAAACGATTTCACGACAAAGGTAACAGTTTTAATGTATAGATATCAGCACTGACCTTGCTAAATTTTTTATCGTGCTACAGTCATATCTCTCGTTTACTTTATAATGTTCATTATTGTTGATCATGGCATGATAATGTCTCAATCTTTTATTCTGAAAAAAAAGTTTTGTATTTTGAGAATTAAACGTTTGATCATACGCTTTTATTATTTTTGTTATCGTTAGCTTCGTTTTTTTTCCAACTGCTTTCATTGTCTTTCGAAACTTTTTTCATACATGCATATATGCTATCATTCATTACTCTCTATTATTTCATTTTAATTCGATAGCAGTGTTTATTATTATTATTATTATTACTATTGATTAATTATTATTATTATTATAATTTTACCAATTTTGATTTTGGGCTTATGATCATTAACAAATACTGTAAAATTTGGTTAAAGAATATTTGTAAACAGATAATAATGATAAAGTTGTGCAGTAATTCAATATTTTAACAGTCGTTTTTCCAGGGAAATCTTATTTGATTTTGTTATTAAAAAGAGTTATAAAGAGTGCTCGATCGTTGATATATTTTTCATCTTTAAATTAGCGCTATGGTAGTACTGTATTTGATTTAATATCATTCTGGCACAAGATCGTTTTAGGAAGCTCAACGTGGCAATGCATTACCTGTCGCAGATTTACCGAAACCACATCTGTGTGAAATCAATAATGACAACATTACATAAAAATTTATTTTGCGCTTATTTTGCTTGATTAATAATTTATCTGCTTATTAATGCAATAACTTAATAATTTACAAATGTAAAACTTGAACTTACGTTTTTACAAAATTATTATATATCATTTTATTAATTTCTATTTTCATTTATTACGCTTTTCATTCTTTTGCATACTCGTTTATACAAATTTCAACTATTTTAATGCTAAAATAATCATTTATTTTTTTAAAATTTTGGCAAAAAAGTTATTCATTAACATCATTATTTTTTCATTTTGGTACTCCCACTATTTATATTTCTCTTCAACCATCATTTTTCGTGACGCTTACAAGAATTTTTATTTGTTTGACTTTTTTATAATAAAAGATGAATTAATAAGACTATGACTTATCTATTTACTAGAATATGACTATTTTTCGGTAATGTGCACAAGGATTTGCCACCGACTAAACCAGTTCCTTTTGATCTTTGCTTTCGTGAACCTTTTAATTCTAAACAAATTCTAAACTGTAATTGTGCGGTTGTCATATATTTTTCTAGAATACAGTTGCAATTTCAAACAATTTAAAATATTAAAACTTATTTCTTCAAGATTGTCCCACGCATTAAGTAATAGATTTCTATTAGTACGACGATGAACAGAAATTGCTATGACATGCTGCATTTCTTGTTTTTCGGACATTTGAATTCACACTACCTAGCATAATGATTACTTATAATGAACTTATACTTACGATCAGATTTTAGAGTCATTTGTTCAATAAAGCATTACGACTTTTCTCTCAGCGAATAAAAAAGAATGCAACGTAATTGAGCACGAAGTATCATTTTTGCATAGTGCCAAATCTGAATTTGGTTTAATTATTTCTCTTGTCGCTACCTAATACTTTTTTTGTAAGGCGAAGCGAAAGCGCAATATTTATTTACTGTTCTTGTATTTTTTAACGATCAGAGCGATAAAGTTTACTTTGACGTAAAAGTGTTTAAAGTAAGAAAGTGTTTTCATATTCGTATAATAAAGAACTAATCTTGATTTGGAAATTTACTCATTGTTTGTCAACTTTTGCCTACACCGGAACTTGGCTGACTTATCCCACTGAATTGTCTCTAACAATACCGGAATAAACTCTGCTTAGTGAATAAATTACCAATATTATGAAGAATCAGGATTTATACAGTTCGCTATAAGGCCATGTAAATTAATGCTTCGCTTCGATCATTTCACTTCCTTGAAGTCGGAGGTTGCATTTCGTCATAACATGTAATTTGTTCAGAGTGTTCGACGTATCTAGCGATTTCACGAGTAAGTTTGCTTCTAGAAATGCATAAATCACTGCTTACTGAATTCAATACTTTAGTTATTGCTATTTTAAGTACTGGAGTTTGGAGTATAGTTATTTATCATCCTTTAAATTACATATTATCAAGAATGACGAGATTAATTAAACTTGCAGACAATGAAACTACACCTGAAAAAACTGTTAGTTCTAGCTCTTACGGCAGTTACATGCCGTTTGTTTTATTTGATTAGAAACAGACCATGGATTCGAATGAACCTGTGCAAAATGACTCATATGTATCGGATTATAAATTTTATGGTATATTTAAATGTTTCTAATTAATTTTATTTCAAATCTGTACAATTGTATTTGTAATTTGTTTGCAGAATTTGTATTTATAGTAAGCATGTTCATTTTAAAGCGTATTGATACTGATCTCACAGTTTTGAAAGAGTATCAGTCTGTAGATGTCGAATATCCCTTCTCAAACGATTTCAGCAGCTACTCCACAATCTTATATGGTGAAGGGCAGTATGCACTGGATTACATGTATGGAATAGTTTTTAATTATAATGGTTGATGTATTAAAGCTGTTAAGAAGCTACTAGACAACTCTATTTTTTGTTGGCTTACAATTAGTTTGCTTCAGGAAAACAGGCCAGGTTAGCGGAGTTCCCGTTATCTTTGTTCCCGGTAATGCTGGTTCATACCGGCAAGTTCGTTCTCTTGGATCAGTACTTCAAAATAAAACTGAGAGTAGAGGTTTACCCTTCAGATTTGATGTATTTGCTGTTGATTTTAATGAGGTGTGTTTGTTTGTTTGTCTATAATTTACACTATGCCTATGTTTATAAATTCGTGCAAACAGATATATAAAAATCAAGATTAAATGTAAAGGAATTTATTTAATAAACAATGAATTTATAATCATAATCATTAGGGATGACAAGAATCACGCAATTCATCATAGTATTTGTTTTCTTATCTCCAGGTTTTGTCGCTTATATTTTATATTTGCCATCCTTTTTTCAATCTTTACGGCTTAGGAATTATCTGGCCTGTCGGGTTTATATTTGGAGCGACAAATCAAGTATCTGAAATTAGCAGCAACACATATTTGGAGCATGTATTCACCTCCTCGTTATGGAATTATATTTGTTGGGCATTCAATGGGTGGTATTGTTGTACGGTCTCTTTTGCGTTTTCATTTCGATCCTGCCAAAATTGCATTTATTGTGACCTTAGGGACGCCGCATAAAAATCCACGTACGATTTAGGTTGAAGTAATTTCTTGGTTTTCACTTTTTACTCATTTATAATGAGAAGAATATTATACTCTTCATTATCTTATTTTTAATAAAAGAAAAATAGATTTTTCATTTCTCGTACACTTTCAGCAATGGTTTTTGATTGGTATATGAAGAATGCTTATAATAAAATGCATGATATTTGGGAAGAGCGAAAGGAACTAGCTAATCTTTTAGTATTATCATTATCAGGAGGTTTAAAAGATCATCTGGTACCAGAACATCTTACTCTAGACATTGGAATCCGTCATGTTTCAACTACAGCTGTTGATGGCATGGAACTGGAGACTGATCATTTGTGTATCGTTTGGTGTAATCAATTAGTTAGGTTTGTATTGAAATTTGCTCATCACTTTCTAAGATTGTTTATGGAGATCAAGCTATTTAGTGCTTCAAGTGCATGTTGTTTTGATCAATTTTTTCTGTGCTGTCATTCTGATGAAACTCAGCACCTGAAAGGTTATGCTGAGTAAAGTTGAAAATAATCACTTTGAAAGTTAAGCAATATTCAGATATATCTCACGTCTTTTGATTGAATATACTCGCAATCCAGACTTTTTTAATCGTCACGTTGATAGTATCGTTGGACAAATTTTCAATGCAGATGGTACATTCAGGCAGCTAATCCAAGTATCAGGTGGTGGATATATGCTGACTTTGGCTGTTAATGAATCAGTTTTCGTAAGTCTAGTCTGTATTGAGCATGAAAAATAAGTTTTCTTGTAATAAGTTTCCACACGAACTTGCAATAATGTTCTTGAACATCGCAGTGGTTCGAAAAGTGCTAAATTTGATTTTTTTTAAAAGTCCGCAAGTTTTTTATTTGTTTATAATGGAATTTTTGAGGAGCTTTACAGCTCAAAATGTAAGCTGTTATACGTGGAACTTATTATGCCTTGTTTTCATAATTATTAAATCTGTTATTGTCAATAAAACTATTTTAATTGAAAGTTGTTGAATTTTCATTGTTCTAATGCTTGAAAATTTTCACGTTTAGTTTGGTTTTATTTTCAGATAAAAAATGATGAAATACATCCTAAAAAAATTATTTTATTAACTCCAAAAAATATTTGGTTGTTTATTACCCGAAGTCGTGATACGTCGATATGGACGTCATCAGGAAAACCAATTTATTCGCTATCAAGTTTGAAGCGGGATTTTTATACACTTGTACATTCAAATGTTTCTATGCAGTTCTTATTACATCTCGAGCCGCTAAATTTTTTCAAGGCCACTGTATTAGAGGAAGATCCAAGAGAGTTAAGTTCTATAAGAACCAAAGTTTCAGTGAATTTTTTCATCTTACCTGAAGTATGTTTCACAAGTTAATTGCAAAGATCAGCTTCAAATTCCATTTTGTTATAGATTGTTCATATTGGATTCTTGTCACTGTGGAAGAGCTTTTTCACATTCTTATGGAAATTTGAATTTAAGAGCGGTGAACTTGCACTGTTATTGCCTCTTCGTTTCGAGACTCCAGTCATTGCCATTATTTTGTCGCTTGAAGTGAAATCTTGCAATGACACAAGTAGTTCGTTTTCATTAATGGAAAATTCATAGAAGAAACAAGCACTCTCTATTTTTGGGGTTTGTGAGCCTAGTATTTTTGTATCTCTGTTCAGAGCATCTGTTTTCCAAATTATAACTTAACGAGGGCTATATTTTTTGAATGCCATAGGGATTATTTGTGCCATCATGATTTGCTGCTTGCATTTTTCATAAGTAGATTGGTTCGGAAAAGTTGAATTTCGTAGTAAGGATATGCGGCGTTTGAGTAGCCTTCGAGATGGAAACGAACTTCATATGATTGGACATTTGCTTTATAAAGAAGATACAGAGGCAAATGCATTTTTTATATTGAATCAACATTGTCATTATCTTGCTCATCTCGATATCAGTTATTTAGATACATTCATCGTAGTAAGTAATCTTTTGAACTTGTTATCAGCTCTTTTTCAATTTAAAAGGATGGCAGGTCATTAGCTCTAAACTGTGTAGACTATTTGTGAACTAATAAAAGTATAGTAACCAGAAGAAAAAAGTAATATATTGTTTAGAGTCCAGAAAATTTTTTTAATATTTGTTTTCTAGTTTTGTTCAATTTCAGATACTTCGAATGTATGGATCTATTCTCCCATTTATGGTAGCCATATATTTTCTTGCTTCTTTTTCAATTTCCACTATAATTGGTAAGTTGTATGCAAATTTTGTATCATCATTTTAACTAAAAGTTAATGTTCTTTTGTATCTAAATATCTCAGATCTTGCTGAAACATATAATTTTTTCAGAAACTTACTTTTCAAGCATCAACGATTGGGAGGTGTTATGCTTTACTTTTATTTGTCATGTGTTCATTATTTATTGGACTAAAATGTTGGTTATTTTTCAAAAATTTTATAATTTAAAACTATTTTTTTTCAGTTTACAAGTCTGAAGGAAGTCCAGTTAAATTTAGGTGTTTCAGGATTGACTGGTTCACTTTACTGATCTCATCTTTCATTATCGCAAGTTTGAGTCATGTTCTTCAAAAATTAGGAGATATATTTCTTCGAGTTGCAAAAAATCACTTTTCAAAACGGTGACTTCTTTACTTTTTATGCCTCTACAAGCAGTCAATTTTATTAGTCACTTGATAATTATTTTATTCTCCAGTTATTGGTTAACAATATTTCAATGGATACTTTTTTATTTCATGCTCAGGAACTTTAGTTTTTAGTACTTGCTAAATATAATCTTTAACCTTAGGAATACAAATATTTACAGTGTAATCGGTTGTAAATTTGAAAATAAAAATTCTGCATTATCGGTAATTGTACTTGATTTATAGCAGTTCTTCACCGTTCAAGTTTTTTAATGCTGTTGATTTAAAAACTTATTATCGAAGGTTAGGCTTCATTTTAGGGATACAGTATTTAAGTGCTTTGACTTCCATGAAGCCATGGTTGCGATGGTTTCGTTGTTTGTTAATTATTTTTACAATGGTTTTTTTTCTATGCTGATAATAATATTCTCCAGTTTATTGGTAAATCACTTCAAAAAGCGTTACACTTTATATAATTATCATTTTTAAAATACACAACTTTTCTATGCTACACACTGAATTTTAAGGTCTAAAATTAGTACAGATCAAGTTTTTGTTGTGCTTTATTCATTCATAATAAGACTTGCTTTTACTCTTTAAATAATTACTTAACTAAAGATAATAGAAACTTTTGTTAGTCAATCTTTTACATCTTTAAGAATACTCTGAACTCTATTTCAGCATTTGGTGAACTCAGGAAAGAATCTAAAAACTGATGGTTTTTCGTATTTTTTGTCGCATATCCATTTAGTTGTTTTGCATTTCTACGTTATTTTGGTTTATACACCTTTTGGCATTTGTTCAATCTGGAATATAATAAATTATGGTTTATTTTCTGTACGTGAAGACCCAGTTCGTATCCCTACATACTGCTTACTCTTCCTGAAATTCATGCGCTTATGGATAAACAAACTTCCTTACTTAAAAATGGTATGTTTTGCTTACTAAACTGCAGTATTGAGCAGTTAGTTAAGTCCCTTGATTTGGTCAGTTATTTTCAATTTCAGCACCACATATTGGTTATTGTTTTGGTTTACAATGCTTTCATTCAACAACATACGTGTATTACACAGTTAGGGTACTCATTTATTGCTATTATCGGACTTCATTGGTTCATCGGTCTAGACGACGAATTGAAGAAGCAAATCGACTAACTTGTGTCACAGCCTAATTTTCCTGCATTTAAACCGCTTTGCTGCCAAGGTATCAGGAAACTTTGCATAGTCATTACTTATAGCATGTATTGTAACCAGTTATTTTATTCTTGGATAGAAGTATCGAAAATCTGTATCTTTGGCAAGAAATAAAGATTTATGAAAGTAGGAAGGGACCTTGTGTACGAAGAAGGATTAGCAGATGTCCTATCTATCCGTCCTCCAATTTTGCTTTCTTTTCACTTCAAAATTGTATGTATTTTCTTCTCCTGCCATATTTCATTCGTTACATCGGTTCCAAAGCTTTTCTTGTTAGTTGCTTTGATTTGCAGACAAAAACAATCTTAAGATTACTAAATAATTGTGGAAAGGGATCTGTATGGCTTTCTCGTAGAAATGTTATTTTAAAAAAACCACACATCTGCCAATGGGGTTTGCTGCGTAATCGCGATCTGTGTATTTGTGGCTTCTTTCACGCAAATCGGCCTAGCAAATTATCTATCAACAAATGTTATCGAACTGAACTTATGACGTTGTAGAACAGTCTTTATGACTCATTAATCACTAAGAACGACACAAGAAGATAGAGTTCATCGTGCCTCAGAATTAAAACGAAAATTATTGTGCCTCGAAAATACGGGGGAGGGGAGATACAATGAAAAGACAGTAATTATAAGCAACAAATATATCTTAACAATATAAAATTGTGGCACAATTTCTGCATGCAAAAACGGCGGCGAATCAGATATATTCAATGGATACATATACAACTAAACTACATATGATTGTAATTCAATGTTAGTGGCAGTGATAAATTCACCGGGAACTGAGAATCGCATTTTGTTACAGTCAGCTAAATCTTTCTAAACTAGATCTCGGTCGGCTTCAGCAGTATTTACATGTTAGTTCATACTAGATGAAGCACATCTGGGCATATATATTATAGCAGTCTGGCTAACCTATCATCTCATCTATGTTCGCTTTAAACCCGAAGCTGCTCAGTAAAAAGATAGGTACATAAAAATTATAATTTGACCGCCGTAACAAACAGCAAACGATAAGTGACAAATTTCTATAAAGAGTTCGTATGTACAATAAAGCTTATCCTCATAGAACGACGTTTTTGACAGATACAACGAAGTACTAAGGACTTTACATAGCTAAGGAAAACATAATGTAACTTTATAAGCTAATATCTCTAAACATATCAAATATCTCACCAGAATCAGGATTGGAGAATGAAACATGAATAGCAGGATCGATTTCCTACAATCAAATAAATATATGTTAGAAATCAACTACAGCAAAGGCGACAAGACGAATTCCGGGAATCAGCCGTTTTTTCACGCCCACAACGTGCACACACCGGACCAGTGCTTTCATTCTGACTATCGGTTTTAATCTAACAAAAGTACTTTACTGATCACTGCATTGATTTACAAAATGTAAAGTTAAAAGACTGAAATTCAGAGTCTGAAGACGAAATATACCATAAATATTTCATAATCATATCAAAGAAGCAAACAGCCACTTTCACCCAAGTGTTGATAAATTATTACGAAAGGCTTACTGGTGCGAATAAAGTGAATGACCCTATAGGTGACGAGAAGTTCTGCAAGGGGTCTAAAGGTGAAGGTGGTCGAATTGCTGCGTTTACTCGCAATTCCCGCTTGAGCAAATCAAGTTGTATCAAAGCCTAAAAAACGATTGAATTTTTATCCATCATACAAATATGGCGCAAAATTTAAATTCACAAAATACCTTGAAGATGAAACTAAGGAAAATTTAGAAACAAATAACTTATACAATCCGATGTAATCAAAATTATAACACATTTACTTGGTCCCTTTCATAGATTGCTTTTGTTTTATCTATTTCTGCTTGTTCTGCAATTTGACGGTAATATTCTGCATCCTTCTTCCAAGCCTCACAAGCTTGTCGTGCCTGTTTCAGACCTTCCTCCCAAGCAGTTAATTTTTGATGATGAGCCACAAGTTCTTCACTCTTCCTTTTCAATTCTTTTTGTAACTCCTCTTTGCTCATTTCATGTTGAGGAATAGTTAAGTCCATTTTCAACAAATCTACATACACAAAACTTTGGTTGTAGTACAGCAAAATTTTGAAGCAAAAGAGCAGAAATTAAATTATACTAAAGAAGCGAATCTAATGGGATATAATGATTTTTTGGGATTACATCTTCATAAACAAGGCCATTCAAAATAACATACAACATTATATACCTGAACCTAGCGAAGATGGTAGACCCATCAATCCCTTCAGTTGCGGAGCCGTTGGTAAGTCAATTGTCAATTTGCTTTGCTGAAACAATGACTCACCAAGAGAAACTAGTGGTGACGAACCAAACGGAGAGTTCGAATTGGGAATTTGCATGGGTGAAGAAGACGTCATGGCTGAAAGAGTGCAACAAGGGAGTTCATTCTTTATCTCTAGGCCTTGTTTTTTAGACTTACCAACGGCCTTGTTTTTTAGATCTTATAAAAATCAGAATATTCACAATACTGGCTTTCATTACCTGAATGCATGAAAACTAAGACTTTACGACTTTAATGAAAAAGATACATCGTTCTATCTCAGTTGAAAAAACATCAAAAGCTAACATATATCAAATGCTTGAATATTGTTACATTTTGCAAATCAAAACTTCGCAAAAACTTGAATAATGCAGTAAATTTTCTGCTACACATAGATGAATTGATTAAAAACCTCTTTTAAGACATTCTGATTTTTATAAGATACACCTGTCACGTCATTAAAATGTTTTTCATTAGTATACCACCATTTCCAAGCAAATTTTAGCAAGGGTTGAATCACAATGACAATTTTGAAAAGGTGCTTACGTGGACTAGTGAAGAAATCGGGTAGTAACTTGTGCTCTTTTTGTTCAGATATTGGAGAAAGCGTGTTGCTTGTTAAGTCATCCAAAAACAGTTCATCAATCGCAGGTGGTAGCCCACGAATTGATGCATCCGTAGATCGAGTCACTGTACCCAACGTTGAAAAAGTAGGCAAAGAGGATACGACAGTTTCATTAGCGCTCGTAACAGAATAACCTAAAAGTTCCTTCTTTAAGTCGAATACATAGTTATTTAAAAAGTAACCATGAACTGTCATACCAGAAACTTATGCCGTTTTGGAAGAAGCGACATAAATTAGAAAAGTTTTATCTACGTGAATTGCGTAACGTATACCGAAATATCCATTAAATTTGTGAACTTTATTCTGTCATGACTCAAAAAAGCGACAGAAATGAGTGTCTAGAATGAAATTTAAATATACCTAAATCGAGTTGCCCCATATTTAATGAGGAAGTTCGTATGCGACCAATAGCACTATCAGCTACACGCTGAGGCTGAAGAGAAATGCGAAATTACATATGAATAAAAGAAACGTACCGTCCTGACACAAACAATTTCGATTAATTAAAACTTGCCGATATCTGCACACGTTCAAACCCTGGAGCTTTTGGATAACTACTAGGAAGTCCATCATCACCTCCATTAGATAAATTATTTTTTCCTGGTGTTTGCTTTTGCTTTAAAACAGCCTGGAATTTCTACGATTTTAAATTTCTCTCATTAGCAAAACGCAACAATGCGCAACAGAAAAAAACATACTGAATAAGTGGGTGTTGAAATTGTTGTTGTTGTTTGCACCATATTATTTTCTGAAATGTGAAGAAATTCAACAAAGTCTAACATATTTTGGACAAGTCTTAAGAATATGTTTTATATGAAAGTCCTATGGAAATTTTTTTTCATGAATCAAATTTAATTTGATAAGTAATAAACAATGTCGAATAATATCAATTAAAAAAATACCTAAACGCCCTGTTGGAGATGATGTTTGTTCTCCGTTTCCTGAATTCGTCGAACTACTGGCCTGTTTTGGAGGTAAAGAGGAATCAGAACCGTTACTTGGTCGATAATAAGGTGAACGTTGAACATGTAATTCTGAATCATGGTGCGCAAAAGCACAAAATACAGCACGAGGACAATAACCATGATCAAGCATATCATTACATTTGGTTGATTTATATATTTCAGGGTGAAACTGTTGTTCCGTCCTCGTGTGACAGTAACCACATTCATCACCATTTTCACACTGTTCTGGTTCAAGCCATTCGTCCGCTGTCTTTGCTGTAGGACAAGGAGTAGATCTGTAAAATTATAGATAACACGAACAATGCAATAAATTTTAATGTGAAGTACGTAAAATATTTCAATTTCAATATGAATATAATAAACTACCTTATTAATTACTTATTACTGCATAAATTATACTAAACTTTTACCGGTATTTATGGACAGCAGGTGGTCGTCGACGATCCTTAGAGTTGTGATAATATGGACATGCATAACCCTGGCGACAAAGACGAGCTGGCTTCTTGCACTGTTCAGTTTTGTAGCAAGATAAAACATGATCCTGATCTACAAGCACTAGAATATAACACGGTTAAATAACTGCTTATTAAGAATGTAATTAACTTAATTAAAATTTAAAAAATGTTTATCAGCGCAATACAATGACATAATAGAGCAGTTTGAATACTTGAGATGATGAAAAAATTAAATACCATGCCACAATGGATCTTCAACAACAAAGCTCGTTCTGTCGCGATTTTCAGGATCTAATAAGGCGCCATTCTGGTTATCCTGACAGTCATGTACGGCTTGTCGAATATCTGGAACACTGTGAGCAAATGCACAATGAGGACCATTTTTAGTACAAATACCTCGTGCATCTGTAGGATGTACACATAATGCTGTCTTATAGTACCGAAGATGATACTTACGCTCGACATCTCCAGCTACACGATGTAGAAAACCGCAGCTGAAAACAAAATTATTAGTTAAACTGAACTAAATGCAATGATTACAAAATATAAAATGTGTGCAACAAATTAATTATCTATGACAAACAAGCTTCTACTTTAAATTTGAACAAACACAGAAGATTTTTAGAACACACCTATCTCCATCCGGGCATATACCAGTGTTTTCGTCATACCTGTCACAGTACACATCAGCTGAGTAGTTAAAAGTACCATCTGATCGTCTTACCGGTCGACGTCTACGCTGATTTGCAAAATGCCAATTAAAACAAGTATAAGGACGATGCTGCTGACACTGATGTTGTTTAAACTGAGGACAAGCTTCCACACGAAAATCTCGAAGGTAGCTATAACATGTGCAATTAATATGCACTAGTTGATTCCTCACACACCTAGACGGGCAAAAAAAATAAATTCCACAAAAGCACAGGTTTCAAAAATATTTACGAACTGTTTCTAAAAATTATTATACTTCAAAAGTATACTAAACACTTAATAATGGCTATTCAGAAACAAAAAATCACACGCATGTAAAATGCTCTTCATACTACCAACATATTAAAAAAAACTTGCAGAACTATAATGTGTGAATATGTAATGCTTCAAAATGCCCACAATCTACACTCAACAAGCTAGACTAAATGAAATTAAAATATCCTAACACGCAATTTATTACATTACACAATTAAATAATTATCAAAATATATCTCTCGGGATAACTCGTCATATGCAAGAGCGCGCACAATCGAAAGTAAACGGTACATTAAAATTAAACAAATGTAACGAACGCGAAATAAACAAACAAATAATTTGAAAAAAAAAAACAAAAACAAAACTAGTTTATATTAGAAAAAATACTGCAATGAACAAATGGTAGTATAAAATAACTGAATAAAGACGACAACAGTTAGCAGACATAAATTGCTATAATTTATGAAATGATAAAACACGAAAAGTTAAATGAAGAATGAAAAAAATGAAATAAAGAAAAGAAAAAAGTGGAGGGGATGAAGGAATACAAGGTACAACGGAAGAGCTGGCGGCGAAATAACTTACTGCAAATGATTTGGCTTCTCAGCGTTGTTATGAGTTTGACGAACAGCATCCATAGCCACCATCCATGGAAAAGATTACATTCAGAAAGTTCCAAATATAATATTCATAAAATACGTTGAGATCTTGGTACTTTCATCGCAAAAAGCACATGTTAAAATACAAACAAACAATTCTATTAACTTTCAATGATGAAAAATCAGCTGACAATTTGGCATTCTGCCAAAAGACATTCGTTGTAAAACTTTAATATGTCGAAAATATTTTTAAAACTTCAATTAATTTGTATATGTGTATGTGTTTTTATGCATGTAATTGTATTTAAAATAAAACTAATTGATTTTTAACTATTTTTATTATTTAGAAAATTACTCCTTTCTAATTTCAAATCTTTTTAGCATAGACTGCATGCAATAAAATAGTATGGAACGAATAATAATATTTCTTAGCATAATTCATAACAGATAATATTTACGAACTTCCTACTCATTCAAAGTAATCAACTGAAGTCTTAAAAGTAGCAGTTGCATATAATTTTATATGCCAGTTGCTGAATTGCGTAGTATGAGTTTTGATTTATTGCAATAACAGGTCATTATTACTTATTTTTTATATATCATATCGAGTACCGTTTAGTGTTCAAAATGTTACGTATCTCATTTATTTATGAATTTTATTTATTTAATCATTCAATTGATTGATTATTTCGTTATTGATTACAGTTTCAATAATAATTTCTTCAAAGTGTTCAGTAATCATTCTAACATCAAGTAATGATCTCAATAAATTTGCATGTATTTCAGCTAGCTCTACTCAACCGGCAATTTTTTTGGCAAATTCAGGTAATATATTCGTCATAAAATTTTAAAATACTGAGAATGCTTGCAAAACTTCAATCACTAAATATTGAAATGATGAGAAATTTGTGCAGTAAATTCAAGGGATCTATTTTAATGATATACTGAATGCAAGGTGAAGCAGTTAAGCATCATATAGTGAGGTTATTCAACGATTAATTTGTAGCAAATATTTATCAGTAATTTAGTCAATGCAATATTAAAACTATCATCAATGTTCAATCTAAAATATTTTATGTGCATCAATTTCAGCCTATCATAAATAATCTAACTCATAGTAATATCTCGAGAATAGGCTTCAATATCTCAAAAGTGTGAAAATATTATATTTCTGTGCTCAGAACTCAAAAACTTCACATTACCTTCTCTTTGCACTTCCAAATTTTAGCTGATTCTAGAAAATGTATTCGAAAATTTTATATAAATTAAATCGTTGGGATTAAAATTTTTCATTTTACTCCCTGAAAATTCGTATGAAGAACTATGTGCACTAACTGATTATGTGGATTGCTTGTGGATTTCATGCTCACATAAATAAGTGTATGTAAATTATTCCAGTGTTCTGAACTGGTTTGCTCCAGTTGTTCAAGTTTTGTCTATGTAAATTTAGATAATGGATGCCAATACTTGCATAAATTGAAATGTTACGTTTGATCACAAGTATGTTTAATTGTGAAGTGTACGCTTAAGTGTGTGGTGATCGTTCAGTTCATCATCACTTGTTCATGTAAAAATAAATTATACACTTTTGATTTATTTATGGTCACGTCAGATAATTTTCTTTGCACAAGTCTGGTCTGAATGTAGTTTCTTTTAAAGGTATGAGCAGTGCATATTGCAAAAGTTATTTGCTGTTAATTCAATCAATATATATGACGAAATACAAGCACAAATTCGTGCTTTTAATGAATTTAGCTGGTATATTGTTTCAGAATCTTACCACAGGCGTAGTTATTGTTTTCTTTTGTTTGTTAAGATGAATGTATTTCGTTTTGCCGGTGATTCTTCTCATCTCATTGCCATTGTTATCTTGCTAGTGAAAATATGGAAGTCACGTTCATGTGCAGGTATGAGTAATTCGTCCTTATTTTTTCATTAGTTGTTGCATTATAAAAGCTTGTTGATTATTCTTTTTTGCAGTAGTAGTAAATTAGTGCTTTGTTAATTAAATATTTCTGATAATTCTGAAGAATAAAGTTATAGGACTCTCGGGAAAATCACAAATTTTGTTTGCACTTGTGTTTACCTCGCGGTATTTGGATCTCATTTCAAATTTCGTCTCACTATATAATACGATTATGAAGGTGAGAAATTTTTGACACTTAGTATTTTTCGTATTGGATACGTAATTAATTATTTGTTGCTTGTGCATCATTTTGAATTTCAACGATAGTAATCGGCAAGCTCTATTGATATTATCGCTATTAGCAGTTATGCTGGGATGAAATGGTGTGTTTAAAAAGTTCTGGTGCAATCAAAGTTATCATTTTCGTGATTGCCTTGCTGATTAAAAGCAATCGGAAACATCTGTTGTAGTAAATCTTTTGATAAAAGGTTGACAAAAATAACAAAATATGAAATTTTGATCAAATAGCTGAACTCTGTCAGGTTGGAAATAGAAATTTGAGACAAGTATTATTTGGAACAAAGTGCTGTTTAATATTTAATGATAACGTAGTTAAATTGCAAAAATCACTTTTCTTAATGAAAAAATAACATACTTTCGATGAAAAGTTCGATGCATAAAGCAAGTGTAGTTTATATAACTGCGAATGAGTTTCTTTCCATAAAGCGAGATGGGGAAATGTCAGTGATAAACATGAGAAGTTTACTTATATTTGAATAATTCATTTCTTTAGCTAGTTTGTACATTTTGGTATACAAGCTTAAAGTTCTTCATGTAATCGAAAATTCAGTCTTTAATATTGTCTTACAGGTGTTCTTTCTTATATCTTCATATGGAACTATATACTTGATGTTTTTCAAGTTTAGGGCGACTTACGACAAGTAAGATTCATTTGTATATTCTTAATAAAATTATATGGTTTCGAATCGTCTCAAGAATTGTCAGTCTACACTTTTTATTACAATTTTCTTCATACTGCTGCAAAAAAAGTTGCTTTCATTTGATTGCGTTACTTCCTGCTTGTTTAAAGCAGCTGATACACTCCTCTGTTCTTTTTAAAATAATGGTACCTTATTTCCGGAATCATGATACTTTTCGCATAGAACTATTGCTGATCCCAGCAGTGATACTAGCTTGTTTTGTAAATCACCATTTCAGCTTTATGGAAGTAAGTTTTTGCTCAAAAGTTAAATTTTTCTTTTTGGTTTATTTATCACCTGTGAAAGCTTGTATAGTCATAAATTGTCGAGATTAAAGTAATATCGATTAAGAAAAAATACAGCTTTGAATAAGTTCTAGACGATTATTACTAGTGTGACTGACACCAGCTAATATAAATAACTTTGGAATGAAGTTAGATGTACACTATAAGTCCCTTAAAAATTGGGCCCAAGTGTCATGCTTCAATTTTAAAGTAAGACAATCGGTTTATGTTCCATCTACAGCAAGATTGCCATTGCATTATGTACAGTACGATATTGGTTCACTTATGTCTTTAAATCTGTAACTGAACTATAAAAAAGGTTTTCATAACTGGAAAATGGTTTGACTGAAGTTGCTCAATCTGTGCTTCAACCCTTTTTTCATTTTTTTAATTAGATCGCTTGGTCGTTTTCTATATATCTGGAAGCTGTTGCAATCATGCCGCAGCTTTTTATGCTGTCCCGTACTGGAAGTGCTGAGACAATTACCGCTCATTATCTATTTGCATTGGGAGTGTATCGGGCCCTATATATTTTAAATTGGATATATCGATACTACAGCGAAGAATTCTTTGATTCTATTGTAGTCATTGCTGGTGTTGTACAGACCGCACTTTATGCTGATTTCTTCTACTTGTACATCACGCGAGGTAAACACTTGAATTATATGTAGTCTATGAACAGCCACAATTAATTGCTCCTTTTTTCGTTGGACTAATCTATTATTTTGTATTGTTTGGATTTTTGTTCGCATGATATTCCTGTGATACTTTCAGGATCTTCATTTTACTGAGCTTTAATTCAAATTATTTAATGCATCCTAAAAATCTTTTTATTTAGTGATTCGAGGACGAAAAAGCTTGGAGCTTCCAGCCTAAAGTTTTTCAATGCCCTATGTCGAATGTGAAAGTTAGACTTGCTTATTTTCCAGGTTAGGACATGGTTTTCCTAAACTTGGTAGTTCCCACAGAATTTCCATGAAACGCAGTGCATGAAAAAATCATCTTTCTATTGTTTTGTTCAGTAATTTCGGATTTCATGAAAAATTATTCATTGCTAGCCATGTTTCCCATTAAAAATTTTAGCAGGATCTAAATAAACTTTTGATTAAAGTAGTGTGTAGCTACATAAATTGATTATTCTCTAGAAATTAACATGTGACTTTCGTTATGTCTTTATTCAGACATCAGTGAATAATGGTTTACAATCGTGTAATTTTTTTCTGATACATATACTGTTAATTGATTTTATCATCACACATTGAAGGATGTGTCAAACTATCAGCCACATATTTGCATTATTGTTTGCTTAGTATATGGATGGAAATGAATAAGTAACTTGAATGAACTATAAAAATTGTCGATCAAAGCTATGGATATAGTATTTTTATGAATAAGATAGAAGAGTACAATGTTCAAGTACAGTGTGTAATTGAACAAAAGGTTAATGGAATACAAAATAAAATGTGCGAAGTTAGGATGTGTCTTTTATAGAAATTAACAACATGTGAGTCAAGATTCTAAACTCATGTGTTTGATTGTAATAATAGTCCTGAAACAGATTAGTATTAAACTTAGAAATAAGTTTAAGTAGCCATGTCTCTCGCCGAATATTGTACAAAAATAGTTGATGGATGGTGTGGAAAAAAGTCACTCAATTTTTAGTACTGTTGTGAGGATGGAAGATTCTGTAATATTATGTTTTATTTAACTGGTGCATATATTACTTGGCTTCTGCACATTGCTGGCGAATTGTCCAAATCGGTTATTATTTCCAGCTGGACTATAAAATGCTACAATCACCTGCTCTCTTTTGCCTTTTACACTGTCATCCATATTTTGTGATGCTTCGTTCCATACTATTGACCGTCCTATGCCTATCTGAAATTTAATACTATAATTCGTCGTACATCCAATGTATGCTTTTCTCATTCTTACTTGGATTTTTTCTTAAATTCTGTTAAAATACATTGTCTTTTTATAACTTTATATTCCACTTAAAAAATCTTCATGCCTAGTGTTCATCAGGAACTACTACTTCCTGGTACCTCTGTTCGAAAATATTGAATCAAATTTGAGAACTTCACTGAAGATAACAGGAGTAAGGAGATTTTTCCATTTCAATGAGAAATTTATGTGGAGAGAAATTCTTTACGCACGAAAAAGTGGACAAGAATTTGTTTTCAAGACAAATTATCATTGGTTACACATTAGAGTAACTCTTATGAATTTATATGATAATCACTTCGCGCTGTGTTATTAGATACGGATTAATTTACATGTATTCAGTGTTAAGTCATAAATGTAACAACAGTCAACCAACTTAACTTAGCCTTCAGTTCGCAAACATTGTTTTGTGGTTCGATGATATAACTTGCGTACACATGTTAAGGCTGTCATTGACCAAAGACATGGGTAGGGAACGAATATCAAATTACATGATTCTACATATTTCTACAACCGAACATCGACCTTAGTACTTGTATTGTTTCATACTCAAATATACTTGATTAACAATGGCATTCTGTAAACATGGATATTTTTTCATTTCTACCTCTTTTGAAGCCTTCCACACTATCTGAGTGAAGTAATTGGTTCCTAATTGCCAGCCTGGTGTTTCGTATTTGTACTTCACATGTTCACTGTACCAATGCTCAACAACTTTTTCTGCAGATATATCCAATGGAAAAAATGTTATATTTTCACCAATTCCTACAAAATTTTTCATGTAAGAATTTCTAAAATTTCACTAAAAATGACCAGAAGAAAACTTAATAAAATTTAAAAGACATTTCAAAACTTTTTAGCAAAAATAGAGCTTTTTCTATGACTGCTATTAGTTATAATTGCTACTGTTCAAACAGACCTATGCTACTGTCATTGTATACCTTCCTTCAGATGAAAAAAATTACAAAGCTCTGATCATATTTTAAATATAACGGAATTTGTTTACCTTGCTGCTCACAGAAAGCGATATGTCCTTTCTCAGCAAGTTTATTAGCCCATAACTGCGCGTGACCACAGAGTTCTTCGTTAAGTGTTAGAGGTGGAGCACCATGCTCAATATAATTAAATCTTTGATAAAACAATTAGAGAAAAATGAAAATCAGTGCCTGATGATAATAATGACTCAAAAGATTTAGTTAAATATATAGCTAGAGAATACTGTAGTACATTGAATCAAGAAATTAGTAAAAAGTCAAGTTCTCACCTAATTCTTGTGCATGGATCAAGTTTCCAAGCAAGAAGATGATTGAATAATTTCTCTTAACAATGTAAAACTTTTGTCTATCAATGATAATAGTAATGTTAGAATCGAAAATACAATATTGGAAATACGCTATATCAACAATAGAGTACCACAGACAAAAACAATCGTTCGAGAAAAAACTTTAAAATCCTAGATTCAGATCAAATACTCCACGAGCCAGGATATCAGCAACCAACCACGTCTTTTCATCTGCACAAGCAAAAAGCTGATGAACCTCGAAAACTGACCCGAAATCAGCTCAATAATACAATATTACGAAAGTCTGGAGAAATCTTACATTCTTTCAGTGACATTTATGTATTCCGGCAAATGACGTAAACGCAAAACTTTTACTCAACAATTTTTTGTTTTATTGTTGTTTCACGATCCCTTGCAACGAATAATACTAATAATGCCAGTTGAAACTGCATAGACATCATAATCTTTTTTTTTTCAATCACTAAATTGCTAACGATTGCACGATTCATAAATAATCAAACCAAAATTTAATTTATAAATACATACGAAATAACCAAAAACTCCAAATTTGGAGGGAAAACAAATGTGAGAAAATATGTCATAAGTTTGGAATGTCATTCAATGTATTCCTTACTGAGACCGCGTGTTCTCGATCTCATATTGATATTTAACGGATATTTCCAAATTTTTGAGCATTAAATTATTAGAACCTGTGTGAAAGGCAAGATCTATATAAATTTATTTACTGACAAGCATATATACTTTGATCAAAGAACATTTATGCTTAAGAAACATTAAATATTTAGCATGTGGAACGTAAGTTATTGAAAACACCGATAATTGAGAGAAAGCAGAAGCACATACTACACTTTAATAAGACATCAAAATGTGTATAACAATAAATAAAAAGCTTAAGGAAATTTACTTGTTCCTGCTGCCGTGAGGAATATCACTCATTTTCTATTAGTTACTTACACAAGAAACTTTAAATAACTGTTTGTATGAAATATGTTGCCACCGCTAACAACTGGAAATGAAAACTTCTGCATCCTTCTTACACCAGTAGATCTGTTTTGTTCTTCCTACTTTCCTACTTGAGATCTAACATGTCATAGATCTACAAAGCTTATTTTCGCATTCATCAATTTTGAAGGAAAGCTGTCATGTAAAAGTTCCATTGAGTGCAGAAAGTACTGCTGAATTTGCTTTCGAGTACTCATTTCAATGAAAATAATGTAGGAGGTTGCTTATACTCTTCAAATGACTATAGAGAACACAACAATTATTAAGAGCTGTACATCTGGTTTTAATAATTTGAAATATCTTCAAACCCAAGACTACTACTGTACACACTCAAGCTCAGAAAAAATCTGAATGAATAATGATGAATGTGAGTGGAGATTATTGTAATAAATATGTAAAACTATCACAGAGACAAAGAATGCGAAAGACAACAAAGGTATAAATCCTAGCCGAAAGTCGGTATTTATCGTTAAATAAACCGATTTTATTAATTAGCCCTTAAAACTATGAATACTGAATCTTCAAGTAAATCCATAAATGTGAAAATTCAATTGGAAAGTATTAGCAACAGCAGCAGCAGGAACAAAAAGCAATAGTTTTCAGAAAAATATTCACACTCAACACCTAAAACATTAGTTTTCAATGCAAGGGATAAAAACAGCAGGACAAATGGCATATAAAAAAAAGCTTTACACTGAAGCCACCAGGAAATAAGCAATCAAAATGGAAACAGAGACAACATAAAAAGAAGCACAGACCTGCTCTCGAAGTCGGTTATGTGCATAAAGCATTTCTTGATAAAACCAGGAAGCTGCTGCAGTCGTCGAAGTGGAAGACTCTTCTCCAACCAACATCACTTTATGATGTGCCTGGTACTTACGTTCTTGTCCATCCAAACACCTTCACTCTATTGATGCCAACCGTCAATTTTCCTTCTTTCCTAGTCAATACACGATGCACTAAGCCCTATCCACAAAGCCTCGAATTCTAATCCATCGATTTTAACGGACTAAAAACTATAATCCCCGTGTTTATGTTAACTTAATCTTATTATCCTATCTCAATCGAATTTCCAAAAACTGAAGGTGAACTAAACAAGTTTCATGACTACTATGAAATTCACTATTTTACAACATTACATCATTTGTTCTGTCACCAACATAATAGTCATTAAATAAAATCAAAGCTCAGTTTTATTGACAAACTACTCTGTTTAACTAATACATGGTTGACATCAAAGCAAACAGACTTCGACAAAATTACATAGAAAATATAAAAAGCAAGTGATAATAAAATTAAAGCAAATTTCTGAACAAATATGACAAAAATTCAGAAGCCAAGTATCTATTAAGTACGCTAACATTACACACCGAAAACTTGCTGGATTTAATTTTTGGTAACAAAATAGATCATGAAGATGATTGCACTCGATGTGAAGAAAATACAGCTGTGCTAGGAACAACTGAACTAAATCTAAAAAACTAATGGCAATTTTTTAGTTTACGATGATCTGTTTTCAAAATTATTGCAAACTACTGAAAGAGAGCCAACTCTCGAAGGCTCATTCATCTTTATAAAATCTGCTAGAGCTCGTTAGACACACAACATCAGAAGAGCTTTGCTTTTCGTTTTAAATTGATTCTTTTCCATTCTGGTAACTTATAAAATTCGATTGGACTCATACTGAAAGTTTCCTCAAACTGTTCTCTGTTTAGATGCCGTTCTAAATGTGCACGATCCACATCATCTGGTAATTTTTTGTTAGATGTATGCAGAACACTTAGCGGATATATTTTTGCTGGTTTACTCATATCCGGTAAAGAACTTCTCAATGTACCACGATTATCACTGGCAGCATTAATAGTACCATTACCACGGTATTCATCTGGTAAGGTACCACTACGATCTTGTAGCAATTCTGCAAACAGATAAAGATCCCAAATAAAACATAACGAAATGAAAAAAAAAATCATATAACCATAAGTCTAGGAGAGACACAAACTAATTAATTGGAGAACAATTAGCATACTAGTATGATTCTTCATTTTAAATATATCATATTCATCCTAATGGTTACAACTATATCTTACAACGTCACATATTTCAGAAATACCTTGAAACTTTCCATCATATATTAGATTACGAATGATGCTTACTATTAGACATTTTTCAAATGCTTTATCTGAGTGAAAACGAAGAAGAACTCTTTTTATTAAATTGAATATCACTTTCAGATCAAAAATACATGACTCAACAATTAGCAGTAACTAAATTCTACACTTATTCTTATTTCTGAATGCGCCTAAAAAAGACCTGACTCCTGAAATTTTTGATAAACTTCATCTAATACAAAATTTTATCACGATAATCACTTTACATACAATTATCACAGTAAAATTATGAAATAATATTTAACTTCATTCTTCACAAGCGCAAGCACTCTAGAATAAGTCTAAAGTTATCATAACCTCTTGACAATTTCCTAATTTTTAAAAAATTAATGCATAACTGAAAGCAGCGAAGAGACACGAAAATATTAATTATGGTTCTGTTGATCACGATTCCCCTGATTAATAAGATATAAATGTCCATTTAATACGTGTTACGTTGTTCCAGTAATTACATGGTTAAAGTAGGAAAACAAGAATCAAGAATTCTTATTCTAAGCAATATGCAAAAGACAACTTTAAAACTGAGTCAAAATTTTTAACCATAAAGAAGCTCCTACACTATCAATATCAATATAAACGACGACGAGATAATTTTGACTAGTAAGCATCAGAAAACAGCACTATAATCACTGATAATTATTTTATTTCAATTTTCTAACAACACCAACATTCTTCGGAAACGATAAATTCTTGGACACACTTTTTAGTAACTTATTAAACCTTTTATACCTAGAATTAGACAAAAACCTATTTAAATTTTAATTTGTTCTCAAAAAAATTGGCACACATTGTAGAGTAGTTATATGTCATCTAAATATAACTCTAAAATTTCTTTCCTTTGAAATGACTTTACCTGAAACTGAAATGCCATAATAAAAGTAAATGAAATGACTGAGACTCACGATCAGAAAAATGTGAATTAATCGTTCTATCCAGGCCATCTATGGAAACATTTTGGCCGTAATGGTAGCCATCTGGGAGTGTAGCAGCACGCCCTGTCATACCTACACGCGATTTTGGAATATGAAAAAATGGAATTGATGTGGTAGCTGCTTTATCCGTGTGTCCTTGCCAATAGACCCACGGTTTCGGCCGATTAATATGACGGGAAGGTGCTAAATAATAATGTTTTTAAACTTGAAACATTTGCTTCCAGAAAATGTTAGAGTTTCACATTTTGCCATCCCTAATTTTATATTGTGTAAAATAGAAGATATAATACGTTTAAAAACCAACATGCATTCACAGGGGTATCATAACGAAATCGTAAGTGTGGCATCTTTTTCGCAGATGGAGTTCGACTTGCATTCCTTGGATCCCAGTGTAATGGTAACCTGAGATAACGAGTTCCTTTAATGACGGAACACGCACAAAAGCTGCCACGTATGCGAGTGTTAAATATAACTAAATATAAAATGTTCTAAAAACATTAGTGCAAAAAAAAAACCTTTGCTTTTTATGAGATTCCTCCAGATTCTGCTTAATAACATAAGCAATGGAGGAATCCTTGTCATATATATCCAGCTGTTCTACAGCTCTTCTTAACTTTTCTTCATCCATTCGATCTGATTCATCGTAGTCAATTTCATCATCATCATTTTCAACAGAAGAGGATGACAGACGGCGTTTTAATTCTGAAAGTAAAATGAATTCCGTTATTTATGAAGAGAACTTATGAAACTTGAAGTCATCATTAAATTTTCACACAAAAAGTATGAGAAAGGAAAGCTGAATTGACGATATTGTATGAAATGAGACTGAACATTGGAATTCTACTTGTAACCTCTAGCTTTTATATCCGTACACGTCAATCTCTCTCTCTACCTTCAAATATAATTTATAAAATTGATACTCATATCCATTGCCAATTTACTACGATCTTTTAAATGCACATGATCAAATCGCAACTAATCAACATTGAAGAAGATATCCACTTAATGCAGTATTCACTTTCTCCACTAAATTTCAATATTATCTGTATTAACTTATTCTCTCTTTAATAAAAACTCGATATCATTCTACCCACTACTCATGCAAACACGGGAATTCGGAACAATACCGTCCACTTTATTAAGAAGCCTTCAAGCTTTCTTTCTTTCGATAAATGAAAAAAATTTAAAAACCTTCAACTGCATACGGATATGGCGGAGCTGGGAAGTCTTCTCGTTCAATCGGCGGAACGATTCCAGGTTCCGGAGCATGTCCAGCCGGATAATGTGCCATTTCAATTGGTTCCTCATTATCCATATGTGGTGATCGTGGACGAGGTGCATTCCTCTCGAGATCTTCAGCTAAAAAATTATAAAGTCAATCTTGCATAAATATACCATCAATAAATGTCATAATTAATTAGCAGAAACTTTAAATGTACTTCGTTTAAAAAAACACTTTATTTAAATCTAGAAATAACACTCCTAAATTTATGTTGAATTTTGGCATAAAAACTTGCTTAGTCGCTGCATCCCGGTTTTTAGCATTGACAATCGAGATTTGCGAATTTTTATTGGACCTGAAAAGCAGTGAAGTAAACTGATGCTTTTAGTACCCAAAAATGCTGAATAATTAATTCATGAAATAAAATTTAAATCACAATACGATAGAAAGAAATCAAATGTACCACCCTGAGGAGTATGAAACTGTGCAGGTTGTGGTGGATGAGGTGGAATAGGTTGTTTTAGATATGTTTGCTCAGCTTCTGGCAATAAATACATGTAAGTCAAGTGCTGACCGAAATGAGAATGATATTTCGGTTCGTCATGAGCACGATCGGAATGGAACGCTGGCTGCAAACAGAAAGGAAGAGACAAATATGTCGAAACTGCAAGCATTTAGAGCAAAATTCTTGAAACAATCATACTATGTCAAAATGTCAGAATTACTATTGATATTTCAGCTTTTACCGATCACATTCCGGTAGATGAAGTTCAGAAACCACCAAAATATGATCAACTATATAAAATATCACGACTAAAAAAAATATTTAATTTGTCTTACATGCAAAGTGAACAGGAGTGATTTATCAGTTTTTTTGGGCTCATGTTGTCAGAAATTCAATCAGCCTTCAATCGCATCAAAAACTTTAAATAAATTAAAAAAGATGTAAGTCGATAGATGAATGGAGAAAAATGCAAATACTCACGAGAATATTTTCAGTCACTCGTTTGTGCTCACAGCCTGGATGCCAAATTTCATCACCTTGCATGTACATCTCCTGTCCATCACCAAAATGTTCGCCACAACGTGAGCAGCGAGCACAAGTTGGATGAAATTTGTAACCACCAGCCTGAAATTTTATAAACGCCAAAATACTAAGAAATATTACAAAAAGAGAATAATGAGAGCAAATAATCATTTTCCGCTTGTATGTCACTGATGTAAACTTTCAATTAAATCATTCCAAATTTCACTTTTTCCAGCATATATTCAAAGCAATTTATACTATTAAACCAAAATCAAAAAATTTACCTGCAGTACTTTGCCAGCAATGTACTTATCACATTCGTAGCAGCGCACACCATATTTCAAGTTGTAATCTCGAATGCAAAACGGTTTGCCATCATGTGTCATATATTCTCCTTGTAATACGGCAGAACATTCAGAACATTTGAAGCACCAAACATGCCACTGTTCTTCGAGTGCTAACAACACCTGACCAGTCTGTAGTGGCTGACCACATGATGCACATCCTAGAAATTTTTTAGATTTGGAAAAAAACTTAAAATCCATGTTAAACGGAGAGAAATTAATAATACATTTTGAAGTGAAAAATTTTCTGCCGAAAACTGCTTGTTCAAACCTGCAGGAGACAGAGGAGGGGGTGATGATGGAGTTGGCGGAGTGACTGCAGCGACAGAAGTTTCGTCTGCATGTTTCAAAGGTTGCTGTTTTGCTTTTACTTGCAAAGGTACTGTTAAAGCTCGGAAATCTTCGGCACACAAGAACTGCCCTTCTGGACCCGTATAATAGCCTATTTCTTTTAATGACCTTGAGCACTCTGAAAATCAGTTTATAATTTGACAATGTAAATAATAGATATAGATAGCAAAAGAATTGAAAATAATCTAATCCTATTTTAAACTAAATGACATCGTAAAATTGTAAAACTAATCACTAAATATTTGAAGATACTTTTGAAGTCATTAGAAACATGTAAATCACTGATCAACATCAAATCTTATTTGCTGAATAGCACTGGATAAATATAATTATTTAAAATCATTTCAATAAATGCTAAGGATAGAAACATACTTTTATATGAAAAACGAATCAAAGGTGAAGGAAATTAACTATTGGAGGATAAAATAAATATTTATGAACAATTCAGCTTTTTATCACTCCGTTATTGAGCAAAACAGTTATGACATTACTGTGAGTACTTATATACGCTTCAGAAATAGCGCAAGATTTTTCAAAATCAAACGAATGAAAAGTTGGGTTTGTAATCAACTTTCTATACTGTATATTTCTGTGTGTCACTGTAATCTTGAGAAATCAGAGAGAAAACTGAACTTTATTATTGCTGATTTTATTGGTAAAATTAAAAGTACAAGCAAAACCTAATCTCATATCACACACACATTATTCCAACTTGGAATAGCTTGATCAGAGTAACGAATAAAAAATCAAGAATATATTTATGAAGTGCTTTAAAAGTTTACTGTATTTGTCACTAGCAGCGCACGATTGCCCAATCAACTTGTTAATCAGTCAGAAAAAAAGGTTTTAAAAGCTTTCATTTCCTCTTTATTATAATCAAAATCAAAGAAAAATAAGTCCTAGTTTTCTTTACGAAAAAAATTTTCGGGGAACAATAACATAATTATTATAATCATATCGCGAAATCAACTCACATTGACTTTCTCAAGAAAATAGATTCTCCAAGGAAATTTGTAGTGCACAACAGTGCGAAAACGATTCTCCATAGATAAAAATTCTTTGACTCCTAATCATGTAAGAATCCCTAGGAAAAAACAGACGACAAAAGAACTGCATAATTTTAATGACTATTTAATAACTTACTAGCACATTTGAAACAAGAAATATGGATATATTTCTCTCCTTCTGCTTTCAATATCTCCCCGACGCACTTTTTTTTACATACACAGCATTTCTTGCCTGAAAATAGAGATAACCATTGTAAGCCTGAAAATAGAGATAAAGATGACACAATTTTGAGAGCTGAAAAAACAGCTATGGCTGTAGAAATTACAGCATGGCAACAGTGAAGTGATCAGCAGAAGAACTTTGTAAGTCCTGATACAATTCGCTAAAAATCTCAAAATATGCCTTTAGTAGAGTAAATTTTTATTAACACATTTTGGACATTACATTCGAATGACTTCCTTCATTACAGAGAAAAATATAAAAAGCAATTGTACAAAATAACTGTCGTTCACAGCAATTGCATATATATCTGATGCATATATGTCATGTTATTATCCGGATACGAGTGACGCAAACTTGCGAAAGATCTGACAAAATGAATGTTATGTCTGCTGATGTTTAAGAATGCATCAAAAAGCAGCTCATTAAAGCTTTATATGATTGTATTCATCAAATTTATAAGCAACTTTTATTTGCATTAACGGCACAATACTAACTTTAGATACTGAATGAACGAATTAGCACTCACCCATTTGCAATGTAGACAGATCAAATTTGATAGAACTGGATCGGATCTGCTCAGCTCAGCTCAGCTCAGCTCAAGCGATATAATTGAAATGGTGCAAATAACAATGAAACGATTGGAAAAATGACGGACTGATAAATGTCTGCTTTCCTGATTAAATAGATAGATAGATGAACGAATGAATAAATGAATGAATGAATGAATGGGTAAATGGATAAATGAATGAATGGATGGATCAATGAACGGCCAGACGAGTGGCTAATAGATAGATAGACAGACCAAGGAATTAAAAGAATTTTCCAAAAATCCTCTCTGCAATTTACTTGGCTGCCAGTAAACACCGTTAATCCAAGCCGTCTGTTTATATTCTCCCATGCATTCCACTTTTTGTTCTTTTCTTTTCTTTCATTGTCTGCACCTAACACTAAACAATACTAGCTGGTAAAGGACGTGTACTTTAAACACTCTCTGCAGATCGATCAATATATTTATCACATTATTAAATTATGCACACATTAACTAACACGTCATAATTCTCATCTGTGCAAGTACAGTGCAATATTATGTATACTGTATTGTATTGTAGTAATATATGATCGATTAGTCTTAGGGAAGATTTAGAATGTGTGCCAAGTTGTGTGTCAAAATTGCATGTATGCAAATAAAATTAAAATGTTGGTGGTGTATATAAAAGTGAGTGGATTAATTTTCATTACAACTGATCAAACAATTGGTAAGTAGTGAGTCGGGTGAGGTGCAGTTGTATTATTATTGGTTATTAATATAGGACTCAAATTTGCTGTAAAGTACGATGGATAGACGAATGGATGGATAGATAGATAGACTGATTGACTGATTGATTGATTGATTGATTGATTGAATCAATAAGTAGTTGGTGTATAAGGAAAGATGAAGGGGAAAGTAGTGTACTGCAAATTGTAGTGCACAGATATTTGCACACAAGAAACCTCAAGTGATGCTATGCAAGCATAACAGGTGGCATGTGTGTATATGTATATGTATATGTATATGTATGTATAAGTGTGGGCCAAGTGAACAAGTGTAGGCTAGAATAAGTACTGTCGCAAGCTTGTAGTACGAACCAGACCGACCTCTTCTTTCTTAAGCATTCTAAAGAGGTGCGATTTTTTATCACAGCGCTGGATTAGTGTTGGAAAGAAACCAAGTCAGCGGCAGCAAAAACCGGGCAGCCTCTTTGCTAAAACTATGCATGCAAGCTGCTTGCTTGTTCACTTTTTGCTACGTCCACTTCACTTGAGTATTCTCTCTCGTGTAAATGAGAACGCGCAGTAACTTGCCTGTTGAGAAAGCGGTGAAATAACGTGAAGCACAATCATTTAGTTGATTGATCATAACAATTAATTGCCGTGATGTATTCCAAAGTAGATAATTAGTTATTTACTTACTTGCTAACTACCAAACTGCTTGAACATAACTCTTAGGTACAGATGAAAAAGTTCACACTAGTGGACATGAGTAATATGATGGAGTAAAGAAAAAGATCATTCTTTAATGGTCATTTCAAAGGTTAATTATGGTGTAACTTTCGTACTTACAGAAAGTAGAGACAAGGATGGCAGAAGTGAACTCACCCAAGAAAAGTGTGCTCTTTGTGTGTTTGGGTAAGTACAGCATTATTTTTCTACTTTACTCTGGTCACAATACTGACGAAAGAATTGTATGAGTGGATGAATAAACAAGTAATTTGGAAGAACTGTTTAGTAGTAATGGCAGATTCGTCATATCCATTTTTATCATCACTGTTGCGCAGATATGAAAAAGACAAACTACTGAATTAAAAAATTCAAAAAAAAAAACTGGCTATAAATCAGCACTAGTGATTTCTTCCTAAATCATTCTCTTCATCATCCTAATGTATAACCAGCACAAGAGACTGCTTCCATTATTTCGATAATAGTAAGTAAATGAAATTGCACTTTTCGATCCGTTTCAATTTAGGTAATATTTGTCGTTCCCCAATGGCTGAAGGAATTTTTTTGGATCTCATCGATAAAAAAGGTGTAATGGATAAGTGGGTCGTCGACAGTGCGGCAGTGATTAATTTTCATGCCGGTGGTTCTCCTGATCACAGAACATTGGCTACTTTGGCTAAACATGGAATCACAAATTACAAGCACATCGTTCGTCAGGTCTTTTTTCGCATAAATCATACTACATCTGTTATGCTTATTCCTCTTTTTCTTATTTTATTATTACTTCTCATGTATATCAAGTAGAAGCTTTTGTATATCCTGAGGAATCTGCTTCTCTAATTTTTTTTCAGGTAACTTATGAAGATTTCAAAAATTTTGACTATATATTTGCTATGGATCGTGAAAATATGTCGTAAGTTCAAAACCTTGTCCATAATAAGCACTTCATGAAACGATCCTATGTAATTAGTAATGCAATTATTTGAAGCTGCTTCGTAGTAAGCAGTTTGTTAAGATCCTGCCGTATATATAATGTTTCTATGAATTTTCTTTATTCAGAATAACCTCTTGGTTTCCATGAATGTTGTTTCATACGATAATTATTTTTTATATTGCACTGTAGTTACTATGATATGATTCATGAATTTTATATCGCTTCCTTTTCTGTAAGTTAATATAACATTTCAGTTTGTCTTGTACTTTTTTACATTTGTTCTTCAGAAAATATGTTATCCAGTAAAATATTTATTGAAGAATCAATACTGCACTATATTACGTTGAAATTAATAATTGTCATATTTAAGAGATCTTGAAGAACTGAGTAAGCAAACAACAGGGAAAGCAGTTATTGAATATTTGGGGAAATACGATCCTAAGGGCGTGACAGTAGTGCCAGATCCTTACTACAGTTTCGGATCAAAAATGTTTGATCAGGTCAGTTTGTCATATTTTACTTTGTAAATCGTACTTTTGTAACTATTGTTTCATTTGGTTGCATATACTTGTAATTCAGTTTTTATACTACATAGGAGGGAATTTTTCATATTTGGATCACAAGAAATTTTCGTTATTTTGAAATTTATCTGTAACTTTATGATAATTTCAGATTTATGAGCAATGTTTGAGATGCTGTGATTCATTTCTGGAACAGAATGCATAATATCAAAGCCTGATATCTAACATGGTTTAAAAAATCAGTCATGTATATTTCTTCTTCCTGTCTAGAAAATACGTAAATTTCTCCACCTGTCCCTTTCCACTACCAAATTTTTGTGGCAAAGCACTGTGAACTTTTTTGATTCAATCATTGTATATTTATGTCTTCCACATTTGTTCTTGTTAAGGATTGGAATGTTCAGTCCATAAATATTGTAATGTGAGTTAAAGTCTTTTATTTTTTGGAAGAGTGGTTTGGTGTCACTTCACTGTACAATTATTTAGTAAAAAAATTAAAGCAGAATTATGTCATTGTTTGCTGTTATTGAATATGGTTCATTTCAAAGCTCTAAAATTTCATCTTGAAAGATGAAGTGGAGGATGTGCTGTAAAACATTACTATAAAGTATATAGAATTTAATAAATCACGATTTTGAATTGTGAAACATTACTATAAAGCATATAAAATTTAATAGATCATGGTTTTGAAGTCTTTCTCTACAATTCGTTGTATGCATCAATAGACATTCACTAGCTATGCTTTTAGGGAATGCCTGGTTTCGATTCACGGATAATGTACTTGATATTGAGATCAGATCTTATTACTGATTTAAAATGGTCACTTGGTGCAGTTGCAACGCAGGCTGCACATGCAGCGACTGCATGCATCTGGACATTTCGTGAGGATAATGAAGTAGTGGAGTACATGAAAGATATTAGTCATCTGAGAAAAGTTACTCTCAAGGTAAATATTCCTTTGTTTTACTCATAGTAGGAATGACTAGAAATTATGGTTTTTAGGGCTTTTTGTTTAAGTTGAAAATCACTTCTTGGTGGGGGAGATTTTGCTTGTATTATTTTTACAAGTCAGGAATATGAATTTCCGCTACTTTTACTGATTAAAATTGCAGTTTATAAATCGAAAAATTAAATATTGCATGTCTTTAGTGATGCTTAACATGCGTTGCAAACATGTTTTATGTTGAATATGTTTATTTTAAATTGTTTTGAGCAGCGATGAGTGACATAAGTGAGCAACACATTTGAACTTATTATTGTACGACGGATAGATTGTAGGTGTCAAATGAAAACGAATTACGATCTATTGAAAAGAAGCTGCAAGATAGTAATCTTGATTACTATTTATGGACGGAAGACAATACTGCGGTGTGCATCGCACTCAAACCACAGTTTAAAAGTTTTATTGAACATCATGTGAAACACTTGAAATTATTTTGAGTGGTGATATGGCATTTCAAATTGTTTGTTCTATTTCTTGAAATGCAAGTTCAGTAAGAAGTATACTACGGGAAATACTACATTCTTGTCATAACTTATGCTTCGTCTATTCTCAGTATAATCAAGTAGATAAATTTGCATAATTTATATCCTAGTAGCAGTTTTTACTACGTCAAGATACCAAATATTTCAACTTCTTCTTAATTATTTCATTCTAACTCTTATTGATGTTGCCTTCTAAAAATCATTCAGTAAGTGGATTAGTGATTATAGATTTAAGTGATTAGCGTTCAACAGATAAGGGGCTATCACAGTAACTTTATTTCGCATCAGATTCGTCACAGGGATTACCGACTTCGGATTACTGATTTATAGGAATGTGGTTCAGACGTATTTTTTTTCAACTACGGACCGGACTGCTGTGTTTATCCTACAAATGAAGTAATTCTGTATCAGTGTGTATTCACTGTAAAAACTGAATTTGATCGTATTTAGGTTTCTTTAATATATTTTCTATTTTGTCATGGGTGTTTCGATCGTATTCTGTCAGCCATTTTAATGAGAAATGAAATGAAAGGACTGAGAAAAGGAACTTTAAAGACATATAAAGTGGTCAGTGATGAGTTGCAATCATTATTAGTTTTGGCCTGGTAATTACTCTTATCTGTTTTTTTAGACTGCTTCATGTTGTGGGGTTTGGTTTTATTGGTTTCAATCTATAGTAATAGAATTACTTTAATCTGCAGTAATAGAAATATTTAATGTTTTTACGCCAACTTTTCCTAATTATAAGACTTGTTCATTTTAAATACCAGTCGTAGCGCACTTCTGGTTCCGACATTTTGAAGATGCGTGATACCTTCAATGCAAGAATATTTGCTGTTTCCGACGTGATATTTTGTATTTAATTACTATCTGGACGAGAAAAGATGCAAAATTTATTGTGTGGAACTGCGTTCTCCATTTGTTATTCATGTTTTTATTAAGTAGAACTAAATACAGCTTTGATACCATATTACTGCAGAAAAGTTGAAGCTTCACTATTTTTCTTTTTTATTTTCTATAGCAATTAGATATGAGTGCTAACAGAAACATAAATTAGTGAGTGGTAATGAATAAAGTCTGATCGCAATATTTCGCGTTGATATCCTCGGTTTGATCATTCCTTGATTCGACACAAGAAATACGGAAGTTAACATGAAAATATCAAGAAATGTTACTTGAGAACAGAATAGGACGACACAGTATAATCGTATCTCATCTGTATCTAATGCTAACAAACAACATGTTATGATCGCGTGAAAATGTAGGACAGCTTAATACTAGGTTATTTTAAAAGTAACAGATGTCCAGTTTTAAATCATTCCAGTGCATGCTTTTGTTTGATACCCCATTCTAGAATTCATTTTCAAAAATTTTATCTTCATTTACTCTCAAAGACAAATAGATTTGCATACATTTAGAATTGTCATTAAAGATATTAGTACTCTGTAACACTGTCTCGGCCGATGGAATTGAGCATTTGGCAATACTACCACAGTATCAACCGAGCGATATGCTGTGAAAAGTGAGATAATCTATCAATATTTCTGGTTTGACCAAATTTAAATGTAAAGAATGTGTAGAATGGAATTTCTTTTTGTATGGAAGGGATAGATTTATTTCAATGAAGTATGCAGTGTGCACTCAATTAAAGTTTCCATTTATTAAAGCTTGAAATTTTTGAGATTCTTCAGATGTTTCATGGAGATTTGTACTTCGATAAAACAAGGAAAACTCAGTCTAGACGTGGTTTTTGTACACTGAATGATTAGTGTGTGTGAGATAAGAAATTAATAGGATGGTGTTATTTGAGAGATTTCGTAAAATATGAAAAGCATAAAATTAAAGACTATTCATTATGAACTAGGGATTGGATGTTTTGCAATAAAGAAGTTAACAAAGGTGGCAGTAGTAATTAAAGGCAACAACAATCACGGTGGCAGCTCCAACCGCCAACGGCACACCAACAAGAAGTATCGTGAGAAAAGATGTACGGGTGGATAAAGGGGCATCCGGTTCAGGATGTGATGGATTCGAATCTACGCTATAATATTCTCGAATAATATTTTTTAAACCAAAACAGTCAAATGTATTGTCAGCTACTAATATTAATTAGATTCAAGATTGTCTTTCTTATTTTTAATGCAAGTTCATTTTTATTATAAAGTACTGAGCACAGGTTATCTTTAATTTGTATCGTGAAAGCATATAGTTAGTTACCTGTGTATACGACTGAAAATGAGGGAGTCACCATCTGATATTTCGTCCTCACGTTTAGAATTACTCCTGAGATATGAAAATGTGTTACATAGTGGTTTGTCGCACGCGCATAGATCAAGCCATCTAAAAATATATAATTCATGTTTGCTGATACTCAATACATTTTTTTTCGATCCAACAAATAAATGAAAGCTTAAACCTTCTGCTTTTACATTGCAAGTTATTTTTATGACAATATTATTACTAAGCAAGATTAATCTCTTGAAATCAGTAGAGTATTTTCTCCTGAAAAGTGGTACAATTATGCTACTAAAAATCTTCATTAAAAGTATGAGACCACACTGTCCTAAAGACGTTCAGTATGTCCATAGTCACTTATCACTCGCTTTAGTTCAGTATCTATTATAAACTAGCATATTGTCAGATGATAAAGGATGTTTAATATGATCAAAGCAATACTGTTATTAGCTAGAAAAGTCTTGATACAAATTTACTTAGACAGATGAACTTTGATTAAGTTAAATAGTTTGTTCCACATGAAATTACACAATTCAAAATAGCTACGTTATTTCTTTCTAGCAATGCTCTTTTCTAATATTTTGCCTGAAGAAAAAGACTACATCCCCAAGTCTGAATTACTACTTACCTGAAGACAAAAAAGGATGGTATTTTTAATGGACTAAAACGTTGTAGAGGAAGATTCAGTGAATAGTATTAAATCATCAGTGGACACGAAAGCAGTGAAAAAATATTTTTTTCCATCATGTAAAGGTCTAGCAGTTGATTTATTTAGTTTGTGCAATGAAATGATCTTAAACGAATTTAAGTATGTACTATATCTTAAAAGGCAAATTTTTTAGATTCAAATTCTAAAAAACAAAGAGTATAGCAAACCTTCCAACATTTCTTCGGCAACCAGTCATTTCGCTACCACACGTTCGAATGACCGAATTTGAGCTTTTGAGAATTCCAACCAAGCAAATTGTGCTTTCACATACACCATACGGTACGCAGTGATCATCGGTACAGTAACATTTTACGGCACAAACAGCAGTTGTTGAAAGTGTTGATAGTAGCCATACAAAGATGGAAAGAAAATGCATAACGCACCCGGAAGTGTCGGGACTGTTTTAGGCGGCACAAGACGGTGCCGCTAAAACTTATAATGCTATGACTTTACTTTTAAAGCTTTCAAATGATGCAATACGGAAATCACGCACACGTTGCTTAACGATTTTCCAAAAATAATTAGCGATCAGCCATTTTTCCATCATTTACTCCATGGTTAACTTTAATTTCTTCTTCCTTTCTTTCTTTCAGATCGATTGCTGACAATAAACGTGGTACTTTAGCATAAATTATTAGCAGATATGATGCCGATTAACCTCTGAAATTATACTTTTATTACCTTTTAAACTATGATCGTTTTAAATGTCATGTTATTATTATCGTTTTAAGCGACTCTCGAAGTTTTGCTTTATAACATAAATAACTGACTTTGAATTCCAATTAAATTGATTGTACTGAATATCGGATAGGAGCATATATAAATGTATACAAGCAAAAATTTACATGTAATGAAAAAATATGAAAGCAAAAAGCAAAAATGGCCCACTCATGATTTGATTTGAGTTCTAAAAATATGATGAATGCATTCATTGAACTATTATCTAAAACATGAAATTTAAAAAATAAACCTTTTACATATTTCATCTTTTATTTTTTCATAAAGCCATGGAAAAAATGTACGTGAAATCATACGAAAAAAGTGAAAGCAGTGAATATTTAAAAATTTTTATTATATACAAAATCAGTAGAATGAGATTGCGCAAAGCAATAAGTGAGAAATTGATTTGCTTAAGCATACATTAACAAAATCGTGTGAAAATTTAATCAAACACTTTTAATATTTCGAAGAAATAAACGAGTACTGCAAGATAAAACTTCATTTATTTATAATACCTTTAAAAACTTGATTAAAAGAATTACTTAAATACAAGTTGAAGAATCTATTGAAGCTTAATTTACATTGTACAGAAGAAAGATAACACTGTAATGTGTACTGTGATTGCTCTAGATGTTATGTTACTATTATCTTCGGTACATTAACTGAATTTCATTACTTTTAGCAATTTGCGAGAACAAATCATTGGTACCTGCAAGAAGTAATGGATAGAGCGTATATAAATACATGTAAACAAATATACAGCAATAATTCTGATGATGTACCACTGATGTCATATCAGCAAGAAAAACAATGAAAAAGAAATGTTTATTGAATTTAAAGAAAGTATAATACTATATACCTTATATAATGTTAACGTAAAAACTTAGCTGACTTAAGATAAAAGTTACAGCTGATTTGAAGTTGAAAATAACAACTATCTTTAGAAGTAGCAAGGAACTGGGGACAAATCTAATCAAAAATAACACCAGAAACTTAGCTAGGGAATAAGCAATGAAGCAAGTATGAAGAATCAAAAAGTTTGTGTAGAAGGAAGGATTAATTATCCAGAAGGGAAAAAGAATGCAGTAAAGTTACATTTTTAAACAGTGATGCTGTACGTTTCATATTTTAATGCATGCGACAATGCGGAGACTGAAAATTCTTAGGAAAGTTGACAAATGAAATAGATGTTGATATAGACGCATAAAATGATGCTTTATTTGTCATTACTCAAAGCTCTGATGCATCGTTTACCCCTCTGAAAGATTTACGTTTATATTAATGAAGCTCGCTTTTTTGGATAACAAAAAACAAGACGAAAATCAAACAGCTCATCAATTTTTCTGTGAATATGGCTTTTAACTCTGTTTTTACCAGCAAACTTTCATGAAGGAATCACTTCACAACGCTCCTATTTCCTCTTTACCGGAATATGCAAAAGCTAGCGGAGTGAAATTCGCAGAAAAAAAAATGAAAATAATCTATTTCTCTCTCTTTTACACGTACATTATATTTGTACACGCACATAGTTACGGATATTTGACTACATTAATAAGGGCAATAAACAATGAATGTATAACTGAAGAATAAATTAAGAATTAAGTACAAAGTATCAAAATTTGTAGAAAATTAATTAAATTTTATCCGTTTTAAATCAAAATTATAAAGAAAAAAGTAACTTTTTACATGATAATGAATTATAATGAATTACAGTGTCTTTCATTTGTGCTATTTTAAGCAGTAAAAATTTTCATCATATAACGATTTTATTCTAGCTTCATGAGCAATGAAGTAGAGTAAATAAGATTGTTGCAATTTTAAAAGAGAATATTATGGCTTCATTGAAGAGTATCTACGACCTTCGAGTTCAATAAGCGCTTAAATGCTACAAAAAACAATAAATGCTATTGTGTAAGAAAGACGTATAAATTTGTTATGTACTAGCACTCAAGTAAATATCATTTTTATTAAAAAAGGACTTATCCAACCTGCACTCCTAGCAGGCAAATAATATTACCAGTGCCATTTTGCAATTCTAAAGCATTGAACTAATCTCCAAATTGCAAGGTATGAAAATAGTGACTACATCTTTTGTTGCAACCGAGCAAGTAATAATCGAATGTTGCAAATAAGTGTAGTCAGTAACTCAACTCATTATAATTTAATTTCAATAATAATTTTATTCTCTTTTCATCATTCATCTCTTAGCAATTATTCCTGTAAATGTTGAGACGAAAAAAAAGAAAATGAACATTCAACCTACTTAAACGAATCTGATATCACTTGGTAACACTACACTACACAACTTTGTTTGAGATCAAATTAAAAAAATTTTAATTTGATGGGGCAAAAATAATTTATTACGCGTAAAAAAATTTTTAATATATTTGAAAATAGTGATTCATAAACATTAATACGTTAAGCCATTTGTTTTCGGATAATAACAATTTTTATATATGGACAACTTGCTTGATAATTTAAATTTGTCAAGCGCAGATTATGATTAAAAGCAAATGAGACTGACAGAAAGACACAATTTTTTGTTCTCACTACGAGTTTATATGCTTCTTAAAGCTGTTCAAAAACCTTTTAATTATTTCAGTGCTGCTTAATTTTTGTTTTTATTCTTCAGTTTTGTAAAGACTATTTCTCTCATTTTTCACTTTTCTTCGCTAGCGTAATATAATTTTTGTTTCCTCACTGTAATTTGAAATTAAAGAAACACTGGACTCAATAATTTGAAAAAAAAAAATCAGTCATAATCTGCTTTCGAAACTACTACTTTTAAGAACTGCTAGCTTAAGAGCTCTGATCCTGAAACTTGATGGTCACGTTTCTAAGTATATTTGGCAAGTTCAAGCGGTTTTCATTTTTTGGAAGGAACTTGTACCGCAGTCATTTCATCAAATTTAACTACTGATGAAAACCCTAACCTGCTTGATTTGTATAACTGTAACTTTTAGAAGTGAAAATTGAAATTGATTCATTTAAATTCGATTACTCATAAATATCAGTAGTTAACAGTACAAAGAAAAAAAAAGCAAAAAGGTAAAATATGAACGGCGTCACTATGATTAGCTTTCGTTAATTTGAACTGATTATAATTAAAATGAATCAGTTTCTAAATTTATCCTAATTCTATGATAAATCCTCTGTGAATAAATCTGTTACATATTTAAGCATGAGGGAAAAACTCATGGAAAGAAGTAACTGAGGTAATTCCAAATTGGTGAGCACCAAATTTAAATTTTACTTCTACTATTCAAGAAAAAATTTCTCAATATACTTGGAAAAATCAGCCATTTGTTTCGCAGATCTGAATTATGGTGATAATCAGTGCTTCAGTCTCGTAGTAAAATGGTAAGATTTTACGAGAAGCAGTATTGAGAAATCAGCGTATGTAAGAATTAATTATTATTCATACGTTTCATAATATGAGAGATTAGGCAAAAAACTTCAATCTCTTTCAGTGGCAAAAAAATTTCCAAATGAAATTTTAGGTCATTTAGTGTTGTACAATTTTAGCGAGTCAATTAGCAGTGCAGTTACTTCAGTAAGTGAATAGTAAAGTAGACTTTAAGGTTTTTAAAAGTGAATTTGCTCTGTCAGAAGACCATAAAAAAAATGGAAAAGGATGTCTGTTTCTATTGAATAAGAAGTATTTGTGTTATTCAAAAAAAATTTTGATAACAATATTATACTTTTGCAAGTCAAAACACATCAGCTATTATACAATTTATTACATAGTAAGTAACTACTGAAACAGAATAATGAATATGAATTTATAAAATTACATGTGAACAATAGAATCAACAAGTGACAAAGCAAAAATGCTATTATGTTTTTCTTTAGATTAAATAAATATAACTTAATAGCACTGTGAATCGCCCATTAAATCAATCGTCTGTACTAAAAAATTTGACTTCATTGTTTTTAGCATATCAGAAGATGACATTTTCTCAATTATGTTAAAGAGGGAAGAACATCCTTTTCATTTTTCACATATTTGATAGAAGAAAATGATCGCATTCAAATACATTAAATGTTAACGCTTAACTTCGCTTATAATCCGATTAAAGTAGTAATTGAAGTTTTATACTCAGCGAATGAATTGTTAAAGTATAAATCTTTATGGAATGAGTGCAGAAATGTAAACCTTTAGGCTAAGTATATCATCAAATAGGAAAGCAGCAAAACAAATGACTATCATTTTCTTAAAAAAAAAATCATTTTGAGACACTTGGACATCTCAAAAAGTGCTCATTACTGAACTATTCAATTATATTGTGCTAAGAATAATTGATGACCAATATTGTTAGAAACTTACTCAGACAATAAAAGTAGAAGTGTATAGGTGAGTGTGTTGCTTCAAGATAACTGCTTTGGGTTTGCTATCGCTTTAAAGTGATGCTTAGAATAAAAGACTATAAAAAAAAATTTCAATAAAAAATGAAAATCAAAGTATTTAACTTACTGAGGTAGAGGAAAGAAAAGAAAAAGTAAAGAGGCTGTCCATCAGCTTTCAAGATCGATCCCTACTTATATGGTTTGGTGTGTGTTGAAGGCGTAGATGTCCCGAACTGCTTACTTCTCACTTTACTTACTTGCACTTTTTTAACCTTCCTTTTTTGACTTGAGTAAATTGAAGTTGAAGTA